GCTCTCTCTGTGGTGCCCGAGGACTCCTGCCCTCCCAGCCCCACCTCCCCTGCCCTCGCCTTAGCCCTTCCTCCCCACCGAGCCCCCATGCCTTGCTGTCTGCTGACTGTGGGGTGCTGCCTCACACTCCAGAGCCCACCTCCTCCTCAGGTCACCCCTTGGCATCTGACACCCCCAGAAACGTATTCACCTCCTCTGCAGCTCCAGAGCCCAGCAGAGCTCTGTGCCATGGCAGGAGAGCAGGAGGCATTTCCTCAGAATGCTGCCTTTGGCTCTGAATTCCCAAGACATTTTGGTTGCATAATATTCATTGTCTGAGAAAAGAAAGAAAAGAGACTCATTTGGAGAATTAAAAATAATTATTCTAGAAAGATTTCATTTAATAAATCCTCATTCTCATTAGTATCTAAGTAGCCATTTTACTGTCCTAAATAGATGCCAGGGCAGGAAGCAGTGTGCAGAGGCTCTGGCCCTGGCGGCGGACTGGGACTCACATTGCTGCAGGTGGGCCTAGAGGCTTCAGGGGGAAGCCTGGCCCCTTCTATCTGCCCCCTTCTCTTGAGGAGAAGTAGCTCCTTCCTGCCTGGGAGTCCCAGGAGATCTTCGAGGAAGGGACATTTGAGAAGGATGGGGGAAGAGGCCCAGGAGAAAAGCAGGGAGCAAGGAGGGAAACCCACCATCAGCTCCGGCCAGGGCCAGGCTGGATGTGTACCACGTCGGAGCACGTGGAGGGGGGTTGAATGTATAAGAAGATGCCCTCTCCCTGCTTCCCTCCTTCCCTGTCCCCTTCTGTCTCCCCTCTTCTCCGTAAGCAGGCACCGGCTCCTCGGAAGGGCCTCTCAGTTGAATGGCGATGCATTCCCCACTCATGCCTGGAAGTAAGCGGGCACAGCTGCTGTGGATGAGTTGGCAGTGGAACCATGAGTGTTCCGGCATGCGGCCTGCACCTGCACGCACACCTGCACACACTTGCCCCTGTGTGCACATACCTACACCTGCACCCACACCTCCAAACACACCTGCACACACATGTGCACCTCTACACACACTTGGCCTGTGAACACACACCTGCATCTGCACACACACCTGCACAGGCACCTACACACACCTACACTTATACACACATTTGCCTCGGTGAACACACAACTGCACACAGACCTGTACCTGTGCACACACCTGCACACACACGTGCACCTGTACATACATATCCCTGTGCACACACACCCAGACCTGTATACATACTTGCCCCTGTGCACTCATGCCTGCACACAGACCTGTACCTGTGCACACACCTGTACACATACCTACACACACACCTGCATCTATACACACTTTCCCCTGTGTACCTGCACCTGCACTCACACCTGCACGCACACCTGTTCCTCTGTCCCCAGCTGTCTGCGTCACCCCACATGTTCACTCTCACCGAAGCTGGAGCAGCCCACAGGGTTTGCTCATTAAGTGCTTCTTGCTTGAGCAAACCGGGAAGTCATCTTGAGCGGAAGCACCTGGTCTCTAGTAACAGACGCCGAGAATCACCTGATTTGACCCTTCAACAGTGAGATGACTGTCATAACAGAACCCTTGTGCATATTTTCAATATGAGTTGATAAGGCCAAGAGCTCTTACTGGATCAGAGGTTTATTTCATAAGCCACTTGATTTTAAAGACTCAACAAAGAGGACATATTTCTTAGTACACTGAGTAAGACATTAACGTCTGTGTTTGAGGGAGGACATGTGGGCCAGGATTTTGCAAACATAATTGGTTTGCAGTCCTCGATTCCTTGGAGTGTTTGCGTCAGTTGGGATTGAAACAGCATATATTTAACTTTATTAGTGTGTTTTTAGAATGATCTTCTTTTAGAAAATGCATCGATAACCCAGAATGAACATATTTTTGCGGTGATATTCTTTAAGCTGAAAATGAAATATTTGCTTCTACACCATTTAGTTGTGCCAGTTGCCTTTGATTTAGCGGACGGTTTCGCTCTGGCTAAGTTGCTCTTTCAGACAGACGTTTATATGGGTAACGTTTTCCAGAAATGTTTTTTAGCATTTTTCTCCATGTTCACGTTTAAAGGGTTGTCTTAGGCACCCATTTGCAGCCAACAGTGATCCCTCTGCTGGGACAAACCAGCAAGTCCGGCGCTTCTGTTCAGGCAGTTACGCGTCGTGACCCGGGAAGGCAGTGACACAGGGAGTGACAGGGCTCTGAGCTCTGTCCTGTGATCTTGGGACGTGACTCGGCTTTTCTGCTTCACTTTCCATCCTCTGCAAAGCAGGGGCGAGGTGGAACTTACCTGTAGGAAGTCTGGAGGGAGCGCAGCTGTCCAGAGACAGGGCCTGGCCCACAGTGAGTGCTTACTCAGTGCTGATGTCTCAGCACGTGCTTCCTGTTCCGTTCTGGAGTCAATCGTCTTCCATGAACATGGGGGAAATGTTGGGGTGGGCAAGGGTGTACAGCACCAGATCCAGGTGGAGTTTTCCAGGTGGAGTTTGAGCTGATGTGACCGGGTAGCTGGAAAATGTTGATGATTTTATGAGGATGAAGAACCGGCCACACTTTTTGCGGTGTTGGATCTCAGATTGCAAACTGTGTTTTGTGAAAAGCCGGGCGTTTCAGCTTCAGCTACTGATTAAATGACCACAAAAAAGCACTGCCAATTTAGGGTATTTCAGTAGAACTCCGGGTTTGAACACTTCTGATTTCTAAAGGAAGAGACAGCATATTCTGTCTTGGACAAGTCAACACCTTCTCTTGGAGCAAATTATTTCTTCTACTTTCACAGCTGATTCAGAATTCGATGGGCCCAACGATGTGTCCTCAGTTCTTCATTTTGACAGTCTGGGCTTGTTACTACTCAAAGCACACGGGTATTTCCCTGGACATACATCCCTCGTCCATCTGCCCAGCGACAGGGCTTTAATGTATCGACGTGCACACATCGGGCACTAGAACCGGAGGCTGTCCGCTCTGCTCTGTGGCTCCCCCTGCCCTTCAGGGTCTCCCGGGAGACAGTGACACCGTAGGGTGTGGGACAGGCACCAGGACCCTGCAGCCAGAAAGGCCTGGGTTCAAACCCCTGTTACTGTTTTTACCACTGGGATAACTTTGGAAAGGGATTTCCACTTCTAAGCCTTGGTGTCCCCTCTGTAGAAAGGGGTTAATAGGAAGACCTGTCTTCAGGGCTATTGGAATAGCATCGTGTAGAACGTGCTTACTCATCAGTCACTGTTATCGTTAGCGCCATACGTGTGAGTCTCCTCTGACCTCAACATAAAACTCTGGTCTTTTTCCCTCACTGTGCCAGCCAAAGGGAATGTTCTCTTCACCACCCATCAGGTTTGGAGCCGCAGCTTCTTTTTGTCCAGGAGTCTGCTTGGTGCTTGCGGCTGAGTTCCTCCAATGTCCTTGTCAACACGGCCTCCTGACAGTGGTTCTCTCCAGAAACCAAGTGCGCTGGCGTTCTGCCGTCTTTTTCTTATTAACCATGAAATCGGATGATGTTTCAGCAGTTGATATCATGTTGGTATTATGTCTTTAAAAGCGATGCTTACTTTTTTTTTTTTTTTTTTTTTTGAGGTGGACTTTTGCTCTTGTTGCCCAGGCTGGAATGCAATGGGGTGATCTCCGCTCACCGCAACCTCCGCCTCCTGGGTTCAAGTGATTCTCCTGCCTCAGTCTCCCTAGTAGCTGGGATTACAGGTGCATGCCACAATGCTCGTCTAATTTTGTATTTTTAGTAGAGATCGGGTTTCTCCATGTTGGCCAGGCTGGTCTTGAACTCCCAACCTCAGGTGACCCGCCTGCCTCGGCCTCCCAAAGTGCTGGGATTACAGGCATGAGCCCCCGCGCCCGGCCAGCGATGCTTACTTTTATTAGAACACGTTAGCTGGTGTCTGAGTGTCACAGGGATACGGCGTGACGGCCAGCCCAGGTAGCTGGCGTCTGAGTGTCACAGGCATACGGCGTGACGGCCACAGCCCGGGTAGCTGGCGTCTGAGTGTCGCATATTAGAACACGTTAGCTGGTGTCTGAGTGTCGCCAGGGACAGTGGTGATGGCCAGCCCAGGGCTGGCGTCTGGGGAGTGTCACAGGTATACGGCGTGACGGCCACAGCCCGGTAGCTGGCGTCTGAGTGTCGCAAGGATGCGTGTGACGGCCACAGCCCCAGGTAGCTGGCGCTCTGGAGTGTCGCAGGGATGCGTGAGGCTACAGCCAGCCCAGGTAGCTGGTGTCTGAGCGTCGTAGGATGCGTGACGCCGGACAGCCCGGTAGCTGGCGCCTGAGTGTCGCAGGGATGCGTGCGACGGCCACAGCCCGGGTAGCTGGCGCCCGAGTGTCGCAGGATGTGACGGCCAGCGCGAGCCCGGGTGTTGCATCTGTCTGAGTGTCGCAGGGATGCGGTGTAGCTGGCGTCTGAGTGTTGCAGGGATGCGGTGTGACGGCCAGCCCGAGGCTTGAGTCACAGCTCAGCTCTGCTTCCCAATTCTCATTCCGTCCGTGTTCTCTGGCGTCCTGCGGGAGAGGCTGTTGCTGGATGTTGTCTCTTCTTTAGTAGCTGTCAAAAGAGATTCATGAAAAAAGCGAGTAGGTAAATGGCCCAACCACCTCACTGACCTGTAACCCTGGGAGATAAGCTGGGGTGGCTGGGGGCACAGGATTATCTAAAGGAGACCCCAGGGACCCAGGCGCGTGTGTATAAAATCAGCCAACCACAAATCAATCTGTAATAGGCAAGAAGATCTAAGGAAATGTTCTCTTTTCCTTTTTTAAGAAGAACGCTGGGAAAGCCGTGCACATGGCAAAACAGTGATGGAAGGGCTGATAAGCGGCAGGATCAGAGGGACTGATAAGTGGTGTGATCGGAGGGGTTGATAAACGGTACCGTCGGAGGGGCTGAAAAACGCTGCACAATGTTGCCTGTTGTTCTGTGTTGTCGCTGTTTCTCAGAAAGTGCCCTCAGACAGTGACACTCAGAGCCCTCTTCACTGCAGGCCGCAGGCGTCTCCCTGGAGAACTGCAGAGGGGCCTCTACAGCACAGACCCTGCCTGTGTCACGGGCATACAGAAGAATCCACGCAGGTTTCCCAACGGGCAGGATCCTGATGAGGGGCCGGTTCTTCTGAAGCAGGAGCAGCTGACTGTGTAGGGAGACTGCTGACCGTCCTGCCCCGGTGTCTTCCGCGGCCACGGTTGCCTTGAGCAGGCATGAAAAAGAAATACCTGTGAAAATGGGACTCCTTGAGCAAGAACCCACATTTGCAAATGGGGCAGGTCCACCCCAGAAGGGTGCTGAGCAAGTTTAGATGTCTGGGACTGGCCAGTCCTACTGTCCGAGGGGTCCTTTCTCAGGGCCAGGCTCAGTGGGGAGAGGACGCCGGGCAGGCTGCCTGGGCTGGTGGGCCAGTGACGGGTGGGCTGCCTGCACAGTGGGCCGGTGCAGCCCCCAAGCGGACAGCCTGCCGTTGGAACCAAGAGTCATTTAATTTGTTTAAAGCCCAAGTGTAAAGAGACACGGTGACTTTAATGCGGAGGGGCCCAGAGTTCTTCAGAAGATGCATCCAGAAACAATTTCCTTCCTTAAAACTGAATTCTGCCTTACGATAGGAAACTCGGTAAAATCCGTGAGCAGAAGACTTGCAAACTTTTCCTCTCGATATCTTTGCAATGGCCATTTCTCCTTTTGGTCCACCTCTCAAGCTGCACTGCACATGATAACGTTTCTAATGTTCCAACTTAATCTTTTTCTCAGAATCTTTTCATTTGCTGATATTTTGGTTTCCTGTTTTTTCTCAGTAATAAATAATGAGAAGGTTCAGCAGAGAACGGGCCGTGCGGCCGTGCTGCCGTCTCCCTGGCGTTGCCGGCTCTGTCAGTTGGCTGTGGAGCCCCCGGCATCTTCCGCGACCCACTCCTTTCTTGTATACTTGGGTCACGGTTGGTTCTGGGTCATGAGACTGTTCTGTCACTGCTGTGAGCACCATGATGGGCCCTGGCAGACTTCCCTCCAGATCCCCCTGGCTGCCTCCGTCTGTCCAGCAAACGTGGGAGGGCTGCTCGGGGAAGCAGGCAGGAGTGAGGCCACGGTGCAGGAGGAGACGCAGCCCCGAGAAGGAAGAAGAGGACGGTGTCACTTGAGAGGGCCCAAAGAGTCTGCCCTGCCAGGGCACTGAGTTCAAGGGGCATCTTGAGTGCGGGAAAGGAAGTGCCTGCTGCTCCCTAGGGCACCTTGGTGGCATCCGCAGAGGGAAGGCAGCCCCAGCAGCCCCCTGCAGTGACAGCAAACAGCCAGGCGCCAGGGAGGCCCCTGCGGTGACAGCCCTGGGTCACGGGGTCAGAAGCGGCCCACCAAGACCTGGGGCCTGGCAGCCCGGCTCCTGGTCCTCCCTGGTGTAGATGATCGACCCACATGGCGAGACCAGGAGCGTTCCAGGGTCCCGTGGACATGCGTGATGTGCCACAGGCCTGTGCGGCATCCCGCCCGCTGGCCAAGCACCTGGCATTGCCACTCGGAGTTGAAGAAGGGCAGCCTCACCTGGGAGAGGCGTTCCTTGAATCCCGCACCTGACATGAGGATTCCAGAAGCATCTTCCCAAGCAGAGCATCTTTCCTAGCTACGTCAGGGGGAACACCCATCACCCTCCCTCCTCACCCAAGAGTCCTAAGAGGGGTCGTCTTCAGGCATCAGGGCTTCCCCTTCCCCGGCCTTCCAAAATGTTCTCCAGGACTCCCCTTCTCCAAAGTTTCCAGAATGTTCTCCGGGGCTCCCCATTCTCTACGTCATCTAGAATGTTCTCCAGGGCTCCCCCTTCTCCAGACCTTCCAGAATGTTCTCCAGGGCTCCTCCTTCTCTGGGCCTTCCAGAACATTATCCAGGGCTCCCCCTTCTCTGGGTCATTCAGAACATTCTCCAGGGCACAGTGGGGAGGAAGGAGCTCCCACCTTGGCCCAGGAGCCCAAGTGTTGCCCCAGCCTGGGGGGCAACCCTCTCCCCTGGGTGGGCTTTTGGGCTGCCTCAGGACATGTGGGTTGCCTCATTTCCTCCCCTGCCCCCAGGCCCCCCGGCCCACCTGCCCATGTGGACTCTCCACGCTCTTTGACCCCAAGGAAAAAGGTCAAATGCCATGTTCTCTGCTGCCTTCTTGAGGGACACTTCAGATCTGGCTGAGGGAACCATGCCAGGTGAGGTCAAAGGGCATGACTTCTGTGGAGGGTGCAGGTGTGGTGTCAGCCCTGAGTGAGCTGCCTGCAAAGCAGAGACCTTCCCCAGCTTCCAGTGCCAACAAAACCACACTGCACAGCCACTGGGAGGTGAGACCAGGCTGGGCTCCACGACGTCTGTCCATCCGTGGACAGCAGCACACCCCAGCCCAGGACGAGATGCAGGGAGGACACAGCCCCAACGCAGGCCGCTGTGGGATCTGCCAGGTCTCGGCAGGTCGGTGACAGCTCCAGGCAGAGTCTTCCTCCCGGGTGATGCAGCTTTGAAACACCTGCCTTCAGCCGCCGTCTCTTTCCTCATTCTGCATAAATATTCAATTTGGTATCAATTTAGCATTGGTGATTATGTACCATTTCTCTTAAAGAAAACCTCTGAAGTTTTCTAAGGCCCAGGCCCTGTGAAATGTGGACCAGAGTGGGAATGGATCGCGGGGAGCTGCCACCTTCTCCCAGAGTCCCTGCGGCTTTCAAGAATGACAGTCCAGGGCATGTTCTGCAGAGGCGGGAGGAGACAGTTTCTGAGGGCGGCAGGGCAGGGCAGGGCACTGATGGAGACCGCCAGTCTCAGCCGTGGACCTGTGGGGTCGCCTTCCCGAGGCCAGCACCTCCGCTCTCCAGCCACATGGCCATAGGCCGGCCGCTGACTTCTTGGGTCCTTGGTGTTCTCATTTGGAAAATAGGGCATAAGAGCTGCTTCATGGGGTCACGGGAATGTCAGAAGCCCGTGCCCAGCGTCTGGCACTAAGTATGTGGGGGCTTTCTCCCTCGGCTCCTGGGCCTGAGTGCCACCAGGAGTGTGACCAGCACCCCGTCCGTTTTGTCTCACATCCTCCACCCCTAGCTACGGCGATGGTCATCCTGTCCCTGTGGGCTCAAGATGGCCTTGGGTTTGCATTTAACCGAGTGTGCCTCTTCCCAGGTAAGAACACAGCTACACAGAAAACGCCAGCTCCTGGAGAGGACCTTCGACCTCTGACCTCTGCTCCTGCCCTAGGGCCTTTGCCCCTGCTGCCCCTCCCACAGAAGGTTCTCAAGGCTCATGGACTCCCACTGTCCTTGCTAAGACCAGCTCTGGCTCCACCTCACCCTGTAGGCTCCCTGCCTTTTCCCTGGGGTCAAGCTGTTTCTGTCCCCACTAGAAATGGGCCCTGTGCAGGCAGGGATGGGGGCTCAGTGGGTACCTGGCGTGGTCATCCCTCCGCAAATGTCAACGGAGGCAATGAGCTCAGTGTTAATAACATGAGTTCTTTCTTTAGAAGTCTGCACAATGGCCCCATCTTGTGCCTCTTCCTTACCAGCGGGGACGGGAGTCTCATCGCTACACCCAGGAGAACAAACATCATGAGAAGTGGGGCTGAGGAGCACAGCTGGGGGTGGACATGCAGCACAGTCACCGCCCGGGTTATGGTGGGCTGTGGCCCTGGGAGCAAAGGTTCCCTCTGCAAAGCCATCCAGGCTGTCCTTGCCCGGCCCCAGGCCCTCTCCTTCACTTGTTTGCGGTGCCCACTGTGCCTATCTGTCTGCCTCCCCTGCTAGAGAGCAATCCCCCTGAGGGCAGGGCCTGGCCGTTAGGAGATACCCATCCAGTGCCACTGAATGTCAGGTTAGAAAGTGAATGAGTCTGTCCGGGTGATACGGAGCTTTGGCAATAGAAATGGCCGTGGTTGCACAACATTGTGAATGCCACTGACAGGTAACTCAAAGATGGCTCAAATGGCAAATTTTATGTTATACATATTTGATATTCCATAGTTCATAAAAACCCAAAGGAATGTGTGACTACATGTGAAAAGTGTAAATCTTAAAGTTAAAAACTAGAAGGTTTTCTTAATGCCTGAGATAGAAAAGGATTTCTTAATAACTAAAAGCATAGAGAAAAACATTGGCAAATTTAAACAACGCAACATTGTTAAAGTCACCAACAGAAATTAAAAACTGTGAACTGGACAAACAGTAGTTACAGTGAATATAATTGGAAAAAGATTGGCATCCATAGACTAAAGAAGTTCCTCGTAGCTATAGGAAAGCAAAGCAGCAAAAAACAGGCACAGCTCATGAACAGGAGACCCACTGGGCCACGGAGACAGGGCACCCGCCGTGCTGGAGATGGCTGGGGTACCAAAGCTGCAGTGGGCACCTGGCCTGGAGCTGCCTGGGGTACCGGAGCTGCAGCGGGTGCCCCGCTGGGGATGGATGCACTTCTCTCCCCTCCACTGAGGAAGGAAGCAGGTCTGACCAGGCCTAGAGCCAGTGACTGCCGGGCAGTCACACTGAATACAGAGACTAGAGGCTCTTCTCAGGAAGGCAATTTGCGAATCTCCAGCAAAGGAAGCTGCGAGGCTGAGCTTCAGGAACACTTGCAGGAATATGCCCTGGAGAAACTGACACTCGAGAAGAATTTTATTTTGGAATTGTGAGAAACTGAAAATGCCCATCTGCAAGGAGAGTGATAAACGAAGCGGAAGAAGTGGTAAGAGTTTTGTACAGTAGTATACGGAACACTCAGTCGAGCTAATGCGTAACCACGACTGCCCGCACCTGCTCCTGTTAGCAGCATCACCGTGCAGCCCAAGCCGGACAGCGGGATGGGATCGCTTTAGAGACCCTGCAGGAACCGTGCGGTGCGACCAGAGAGGAGAGACACGGTTCTGGGGGACTTTGAAGGCAGCGCTTTTCATGGGGGGCTCTGGATCTTCGTAAGAGACGAAGTAGAGACGGCAGAGAAAACACCACTTGGAAAGAAGGAGCAATAGCAGATAAACCCTGTGTGGCTGAGCCTGGGGACACGGTGCACAGGAAGGGAACGGGGTGACCTGGGGGGCCCTCAAGGTCTCATGCCAGGTTGTATGGGACTCGGGGGCGGGACTGAGAGGGGTGAGGTGCTAAGATACTTCACAAGTGTTCACTTATGACTTTAAGTTTTACCCATTTAGCTTTATTTGACAATTAAATGATGGTTTTGTATTTTTATTTTAATTTTGCTTTGTTCAATTCTATTTTAAATTTCAAAGTAAAACCATTTTCCTAATGATAAGTCATTTTACTGCTAACAGCATTGATAGGCATCTGGTTTTAGCTTCAGTTCGCAGCCAACCCTTTTGCTTTCAGAGTGAGGCTTCAGTTCACTGGCGTGGCTGTGTCTGGCAGCGTCAGCACCTCTGTGACAGGCAGCCTTTCTCCAGGCTTAGAGTGTCAGCGAAGGGATTATTTCAGGCCGACACTTGGCACGGAGAGTTCTCAGGCAAATGCACTTTTGAAGAGTTGGATTTGATCTCAATTATTCCATTTGGCTTTGTGAAAGGAGAGGGAGGGAAAACAGTTTACCCAGCTTCTGGCTCTGTCATATTTTCATTTTAAATCTAAAGGCAATGATGCTGGCAGGCAACCAGTTCTCGACGTGGACTGACACTTCAGCTACTCTGGGAAAAGCAACCTCATTCAAACAAGCCAGAGTCTTGGGAGCGGCCACCCCACTTTCCCGCCGGGCTGTGCTGTGATGCTGACCCGGCCCGACACACAGATCCCTTGTGTCCCCGCTGGACGCTGGCCCGGCGGCCGTGGCCTATAGAGCAGTCTCCTCGGTGCATGAAGCCAGCACAGTCCTGGAAATCGCATGCAACAAAAAGCCTCTGTTCCACCAGACAAGCTCTGAGCAGAGAGGGCCCCGCCGAGGCCTGCCCGCGATGGACTCACAGATGGGCGCCCGGAGACAGCAGGCTTTCATTACATCAGCCCAGGGGTGGGGGCGCAGATGGCACCGCTGGGCTTGGCTGGGGAAAGAGGCGCCCTGAACCTGGAGGAACTTCAAGAGTTTACCGGACGCTCAGGAGCCTCCTTGTCTCTGCCTTTTCTTCACATCCTAAAGTGCACGGAGCTGGTCTTTAGTTTTCAGGCAGTGAGCGTTGGCCCAGGCGGGCTCTCCTCTGCCAAAGAAGGTCCTGAGAGGACCCCCACCACTAGAGTCCCCACCACTTAGAGGACCCCGTTCCTTTGGCTTTTGGGGAATTGCCCCCTCCAGTTCCCAGTCTTTGTGGCTCTGTAATCTGAGATGTCCAGATGGTCCTTTGGTAGAAAAGCTCAGCCCTGTGCTTTCCCCTGCAGCCCATTGATGGGGGAAGTGGGGTCCGTCAAGGCTCTGGTGGGCCTGGAAGCTGGGCCTGCTGAGCCACAGGGGCTATTCTGATCACCTCCTTCCTCTCTACCCTATTGGTGAGGGGGACCCGCTGTCCTCAATAGCACCAGATGCCTGAGTGCCTGGCACCTAACCCTGCACAGCCGAGAGCGACAGCAGGCCACGGTCACAGGTGCTGATGTGCTGGTGGAAGGCAGCCCACTCCACTCGGGGACAGGGTGAGCCCTCAGGGGCTGCATGGCCTTGCAGTGACCGCCCGCAGGGTGAGGGGACCCTGGCTCTGTGGGGCATGGGGCAGGGTGTGGGGAGAATCCTGTGGGCTGGTGGGATCTGAAGCCCAGCGGGCTGAGGACTGGGTGGATGCTGCTGGTCCCATTGGTGAAGGAACTGGCAGGGTGGGAAGCCTTTCCCCCGGGGGGGCACATCCTGTGAGGACAGCAGCTCCCACGAGGCCTCCAGAGGCAGGGAGGCCTTTCAGCGCGAGAATCTCACTGGCCACAGGTGCTGCTCAAATGAACGCTCCGAAAGTCCCAGCAGGTACAGCACAAGTCTCAGTGCCGGAAACTGCTGTGCTGGGGGTGAGGAGGGGTGGCCCCAAAGGCAGCCAAGGGCTTTGTGGGGGCACCTGGGGCCCAGGGGCATAGGAAGGGCCATGCCCCACATCCAGTGCCCCCAGGTGTAGCCCCGCTCCTCATGGCCTGAAAGGTTTTATGCATGGATGGGTTTTAATTGGATGTCTGGAAGCAGGTGCAGCTGTGTCTGAGCTTGGTAATGAGGCGCAGGGTGAAAGGGAGGGACATCTTGGAGGTGACGCTCCTGATGCAAGGTCTTTGCCAAACAGAAACTCCACAGGCCTGACCACATCTGACCAGGGCACAGGGCAGCTGAGGCCAAGGGACGGGTCCTGGTTTGGGGTCACTGCGTGTCCTTGATCAAGGCGTTGGGTGCTCAGCGCCTCATCTTCCTTCTCTGCAAGGTGAGGGGCTTGGTCCCCCCCACACCCCAGTACATTTATGAATTTTAACTGTTCTACAAGGCTACGGCCAACATGTGTGCATCAAGGCTCAGCCTGAAGGCAACACGCGGGGAGCCTGGCGGGCTGAGGGTGGGCGCGTGCCGGGAGGCGTCCCTGTGCCGCGCTCATTAAGTTGTGATGGTGACTTGTTAGCAGCTTGTTTTACTTCAAGATACTTCACTACATAAAGATTTTCAGTTATAAGACAGATTGAGTTGAAAACGGATTTTTCTAAAAACAGGGATTATTCTGTCTTGCAGAAATGATCCTCAGCTTCAAAGCTTTGTTTTTTAATGAGTGCATCCTTTAGGCATTTGGCACGTCTGGGCTCCAAACCCTTGTGTTCATCCTGTGGACTGCAAAACGCACAGTGCCTCATGTCTCCTTCTGAACCTGGTCTGGTGTTAGCAGTGAGGAGGGCAGTGTCTCAGGCTCCCACGGGCTGAGGATGTTCTCCACGATGTCCCTCAGCCCACAAAGACAGAGACGCACCTGGAACCTCCAAGCCACGGGTCTTGTCTGCAGCTGGGCCGGGTGGGCTGCCCCTGCCAAGGGAGCCTCCAGGGTGGGTGCTGGCTGGCTGAGCGCCCTCCTCACACTCGAGGGCAGGCCAACTTGAGAGGACCCGTGTCTGCATGCAGTGCTGTCTCTGCCCCCAGCAGCTGAGTGCCACCTGCTAAGCTAATATTTGCTGAGCCATCGAGTCATGGATTCCTTCCTGACAGCGTCGCTCAAGTGTTTATCGGCTCAAGGTTGCCCTCGTCTCCCCGCCTCCCTCTGCAAACACCATTCAACTGCCAGCAGTGCCCTTGATGCCCCATGTCCAGCTCCTCCGAGTGTGGCTTCCTGGCTCAGAGTTCCCCAACGTACGGCATTCCTTGTGGTGAACCACAGGGCTGGCCCAGGCTTTCTAGATGTCGGAGGCGGCGAAGATGCCACGTCCAGCAGGAAGCGCTGCACAGTGGCAGCCGCACATCAGAACAGCAGCTGTGGGGGGGTGTGGGGGGCTGTGGAGCAGGGGGCCGCCAGTGGGTTATTTACGATGAGCTCTGCAACTGTGCCCGTGCCTGGTTTTTTTTTCTTTAATGGAATGAAGCAAACAAGAGTGCCATGTCCCTACAAGGACACAGTAGGGGTCTGGGTGATTTAGGGCCCTGGTGAATTCACACCCTCCAGGACATGAAGCCCTGTTTTCTGCACCATTTCACTGATGAGAAGCTTGAGGCTGAGAGAGGCCACCGGGGCAATCCGAGGGGAGGCCGGATCAGTGCTGAGCCCTGTGGGCCTCACTTCCGAGGCCACAGCCTCCCTCACTGTCTCTCCACACCCAGCCGAGGCCCTGGGTCCACTCCACGTCCGGGTCATGCTCCAGGAAGGGGTCGGTGCCGGTCTAGAGCCTGGCGACAGAGCTCCTGGCCCGAGGCCTCCGGGAAGGAGTATATCTCCAGCTTGCTGCCCACTGGCTGAGGACAGCGGGCCAGGGCATGACTCCCATGTGCACACAAGTGCCGTTCTGCCTCTGTGCTCCATGAACACAGGTGCCCCGAGCGCCTCCCGAGTGCCATGTGCAGAGCAGGCAGTGCCAGATGGGGCCCACTGCCGTCCACAGGGCTTGAGGAGGATGGGTGCCTCCCAGATGCCCTGTCCGGGCCTGCACCCCTGTGCCAGGCTGAGGAGGCTGTGTGCCTCTTTGGGAGATGACTGGGAGGTCACGAGCCCAGTCTGTGGGTGACCCAGAGCCAGTGACTGACAGTGGTGGGTGCGACGGCCACCCTGGCCTCCCCAGGGCCAGCACTGGGGTGCAGGTCACTGCCCAGAGGCCCTGGGCACCGGCTAACAGCGACCCCTCCTGACGCCTGGTCCTGCTCGCCTCGCCCCTCGCCCTCAGGGTTCTCCTGCAGGAATCCCCATGGGAGTGCTGGCTGCTGACGGACAGAGCTTCCCTCGTTGGGGGGCTACAGGGTGAGGAGGGCTTCGCATGGTGGAGGCAGCAGAGGGAACGGTGCTGTGAAGGCCCTGGCAGAGTGAGAACAGGTCCATCGGGCTGTAGGGGGGCATCGGAATAAGCGGATGAAAAACCGATATGATACAATACAGTCCTTTAAATTATGCATCTGCAGCACTTTTATGACATGGAATCGTCTTAAGAAAATACCAGGTGACAATGAAGGACGCAGAACTGTGCGACCTCAACCCCAAGTAGACGCAAACACAGAGGAAAGCCCCAGAAGGCCTGTGGCCATGGTTTTCAGTCTTCCTTTCTCTCGCTGCCTCTTCCAGTTTTGTAGGGTTAGCACGCATTGCTTTCATTAAAAAAAAAAAAAAAAAAAGTGTGATGTACAAGGTTCGACTTCTTGAAATGTTGAACTCTGGGTAACTGTTTGACTCTGAATTTGTTTCTGGAAATGATTTTCCTGTTTCTCATGAACTGCTCAGGAGGGTAGAGGCCACTTACAGTTGGCAAACAGCAGAGGGCCCGGGCGTGGAGCTGTGGCCAGGCTGGTAACGGGGAAGTTCCTCTGACTCCTGGCGAGGCTGTTCCCAGTGCATTTCCAGGCACGCCCACCTCCCTGAGTTGTTGAAACCTCTGTGCCTCCCCCTCAGGTGAAGCCCACACTGCACTCCCGTCAGCTCAGGTCCTGTGGTTTTTACCTGGGGTGAGCAGGGCCCAGCCCACCGCGTGGGTGAGAATTCAGTGAATTCCCTGTGTGCGGGTTTCTGCGTGCCCCACGTGTTTGCACCAGGGCCAGGTGCTGTTTCACTCACAGCCAGGAGCTCTGTGGCCCTGGATGGTAAAAGTGTGTTTCTCCCCAGGGCCTGACTCTGCCTTGAGATGCTGCCTTCCTCTAGGGGCCCCTTGGAGTCCCTGGCTGGGCCCCTGCGTCCAGCTGTGGATGACAGAGCTGGGGGCTCAGTGGACAAGTGGGGACGTGGCGGGGTGGCAGAGAGTGCCGGGGAGCGTGGCATCCTTGCCCTATCCTCCCAGGCAGGAGCAGTCATGTGGTCATGTCTGAGTGCCGGGGCACAGAAGCCATTGGCCCTGTGCCGTGGGACGGAGTTGGCATGGCCAGCACGCTGCCCTGTTGCTGCACTGGCGCCCGAAGCATGGCTCCTGATCGGTGTAATAAATGCCGGCTGCCATGGGAAAATGTCTCTCAAAGTGTGTGCTTTGCTACACCCAAGGACAAGCCACTTTCTCAGACAAAAGGAGCATATCCCAAGCATTTCAGCAGTAATTGGTCTCACGTCTACTCCTATCACATCTGCAGTGACTTCCTTCACAGAAGGCTGGAATCCCTCAAAGTCATCCATGAGGATGGGACTGAACCTCTTCCAAACGCCTGTTCATGTTGACACTTTGACCTTCTCCCATGAATCATGAATGTTCTTAGTGGCATCTAGAATAGTGAATCCTTTCCAGAAGGTTTACAGTTTACTTTTCCCAAATCCATCAGAGGAATCACTAACTATGGCAGATACGGCCTTAAAAAATGTATTTCTCAAATTATAGGGCTTGAAAGTTGAAACGAGTCCTTGGGCTGTGCAATGGGTGTTGTGTTAGCAGGCATGGAAACAGCATTAATCTCCTTGTTCATTTCTATCAGAGCTCTTGGGTGACCAGGTGCATTGTCGGTGAGCAGTAATATTTTGAAAGGAATCTCTTTTTCTGAGCAGTAGTTCTCAAGAGTGGGCTTAACATAGTCAGTAAATCATGCTGTAAATAGACTTGCTGACATCCAGGTTTTCTCATTGCATCTATAGAGCAAGGCAGAGTAGACTGAGCATGATTTTAGGGGCCCTGGGATGTTCAGAATGGTCTGTAAGCATTGGCTTCCAGTCAAAGTCACCACTACACCAGCTCCTAACAAGAGCGTCAGCCTGTCCTTTGAAACTCTGAAGCCAGGCACTGACTTCTCTCTAGCTAGGACAGTCCTAGATGGCGTCTTCTTCCAACAGACGGCTGTTCTATCTACATTGAAAAATCTGTTGTTAAGCGCAGCCACCTTCATCAGTGATCTTAGCCAGATCTTCTGGCTGCAGAGGGTAACTTGCTGCAGCTTCTCCATCGGCACCTGCCGCGTCACCTTGTGTTTTTATGTTATGGAGACCGCTTCTTTCCTTAAACGTCACGCACCCACCGCTGCCAGCTTCCACTCTTCTTCTGCAGCTTCCTCACCTCTCTCAGCCTTCACAGAACTGAAGTTAGGGCCCTGCTCTGGACCAGGGTTTGATTAAGGGAATGGTGTTGCTGTTTTGATTGTCTATCCAGAACATAAAAGCTTTCTCCGTATTAGCAACAAGGCTGGTTCACTTCCCATCATCCATGCACTCTCTAGAACAGCACTTGTGACCTCCCTTAAGAACTTTGCCTTTGTCTTCGCTACTTCACTGGTGCAAGTCTCACTTTAGCTTTCAGCCTGTCGCAGCTTTCAACATGCCCTATGCTAAGTTAAATCTTTTCTGGGTTTTGATTTAGAGTGAGATGTGGTGGCTCTTCCTTTCACCTGAGCACTCTGCAGTTGTGGTAGGGTTACTGACTGGGTTAATCTCAGTATTGTCGTGTGTCAGGGAACAGGAAAGCTTGGGAAGAGGGAGAGAGGTGGGGGAACGGCTGATGGGGGGCACTCGGGACACACCAAGCATTTATTAAGTTTGTGTCTTGTATGGGTGCAGTTCATAGCACCCCAAACAATTACACTGGTAACACTGAAGACCCCGATCACAGATTGCCACTATGTAGATAATAATAATGAAAACGTTTGAAATGTGGCAAGAATCACCAAAATGTGACCCAGAGCCATGAAGCCAACACACGCTGCTGGGAAAACAGCGCCCATGGAATTGGTCCATGTGGGTTGCCACAAACCTATGATTTGCAAAAAAAAGCAACATCCATGGAGCAAAATCAAGCAAAACACCACAAAGTACGCCTGTAGAGCTCTCTACAGATCTACATTTTAAATACATAGATCTATATAATTTATATAATACTTATATCTCTATGTAGTACATATTAGATACGCAGTATTGATTACACAGAGCTACATGTAGATCTCTAAATTATATACACAGCCAAAATTTTAAAACATATAAGAATTATTCTTTATAATGGCCGAAGACATAAACGTCTCCTCCTTTTCTATCTATGAATCTAGAATCTGACAGATAAACCCACTCTAACAAGCTTTCGTCATGTGATGGGCCTGGCTTCACCGAATCTACGTCTTACGTAACACTTACTGCCCACAGGACTTTCCTAGTGACAGTTAGCTGCCCTTCGAGTGGGCTGGCACCAGATGGAAGCTGGACATAAGCTTTCGTGAGAGGTCGTGTGCAGTTCCTGAGCTTTGTGTTACCAGACACTCTCTCATCTCAGACACTCGCTCATCTCAGACACTCTCTCATCTCAGATGAGGGTCGAACTGAAATTTCATTACAGAAACCACCAGTCACCACTGCTGAAGTTCAGAAGGAGTCCACCTGGTAAGGAAGGAGACCACTACTACTCCTACTGCCCTCCTCCCCCCACCTTGCCTAGTTCACAAGACAGGAAGAAAGAGAGAAAGCAAAAAGTTGGAAAGAAACAAAAGTAAGATAAGTAGCCAGACAACCTTGGCGGCACCACCCGGCCCTAGGAGTTTAAAAATAATAATAACATCAACCCCGTGACTAAAACTACTTGTATTATCTGTAAATTCCAGACATCGTATGAAAAAGCATTGCAAAACTTTCTGTTCTGTTAGCTGATGCACGTAGCCCCTAGTCACGTTCCCCACGCCTGCTCATTTATCACAACCTTTTCACATGGACCCCTCAGAGTTGTAAGGCTTTAAAAAGGCCAAGAATTTCTTTTTCAGGGAGCTCGGCTCTTAAGACGCAAGTCTGCTGACGCTCCCGGCCGAATAAACCTCTTCCTTCTTTAAACCGGTGTCTGAGGAGTTTTGTCCGTGGCTCGTGCTGCTACACTGGCATGGCCTTTTCTGGATGCATGAAATGCGAATTCAGTGAGTCAACTTTCAGGGTAACAGGATTTTAAGACATCTTCATTTATGTAAAAGAAATCTTATTCACTAACATTCCATTCTCAGTAACTGTGTTAATGTAAATGAGTCTTGTACAGTCAGTCACCACAGCATCGCAAAAACATTGGCATCTGGTTTTCTCATTGATAAATATGCATGAAAGTCGTCTGTTTCAAAGATGCAGACAAAGATACAATGTTCCCTAATCCAGATTACATGTTAGCCTGATTGATGGATTATCACTAATTAGATTTTATTCTTAGTTTTGTTACACGCCAATTTATCTCAATGAAAAACAAACTCAACTAAATACTGTGCTTTACTTGCTCTCTTGGATAATAAGAATGTGGAGGGAAGGGTGAGGTTGCAGCAGTGTGGGGATAAGGGGAAGGCGGTGGACAGACCTGGAGCTGGCAGAGGAGGAAGAGGAGGAGGAGGAAGTGAGAGGGGCCCCTCATCTTCCCCAGTGTCCTGCACGTGGCCTCAACTGTCAGCTCCTGTGGTCTGGGTGGATCCTGGGTGCACAGAGAGCCTGGGACAGAGGTCCTGGGGACAGAAGGTCCTTGTTTCAGAGGATCCAGGGTGAGTCTGTGGCGAGTTTGCAGCAGCTCACTCAGCACAATAGGGAACGGCAGGGCTGGCTCCCTTTCTCGGGTTGCAGCTTTTCCAGGTCATGACACTGGCCCACTGAGCACAGTTCACACAGAGGAGCAGCCAAGGCTCCAGGAACACAGCTGGGCACTGAGTCATTCTGTGTTTGGGAAAATATCTTTAATTTCACAAGGAATGTGGTATACATGCACATGCACACACACACACACACACACACCCCCAGCAATACATGTGTGTGAATCTGTTTGTGCTGCTGTAATGAAATGCTTCTTGCTAGGTAATTGATGAAGAACAGGTTTTTTTCTTGCACAGTTCTGGGGGCTGGGAAGTCCCACATCAAGGCACCAGCCTTAATCCACCCTCTACCCGCATGACCTAAGCTCCTCCCAAAGGCCCCACCCCCAACACTGTTGTACTGGGTATTAAGGTTCCAACACATGGATTTCGGGGGCCATTCAGACCACAGCAACATTCATACACACAAACTCCTACCCTTGAAAATTAAAAACCTCACATTGAACTTACGTCCCGAATCCTCTCTGCTCCAGACTCCACTCAGCTCAGCCTCAGCCCCAGGACTTCTCGCTCCTGGGGAGTTCAGTTCCCCTCCTCGCCCAGAATGGGCTGGGTCGCTTCAGGGCCTCCACATGCTCGGCCATCACCACCCTTTAAGGAGTCTCCGGAGGTAGCAGGATGCATCGTGCCACTGGTCACGCAGGTTTCACCCTCCCCAGCCCCTAGAGCAGCGGCCCTAAACCACATTCTGTGCTGACCGCAGGCCCGGTGAGCACAGAACACAGGCAGCTCTCGGGACGAGAAGGAAGCTTTCTGGAAATGCCTCCCTGGCTGAGCCTGGTCAAGCCACGCCAGGCAGCTTCCAGGGCCCAGGAACCGAGGCTGCATCCGGGACCCCTCCTGTCAGGAGGCTGATGCGGCCCCGCCTGCTGGCTGGCCACGTGTGGGAGGGTCTCCGGGGGCTGCTGCCTCGTGTCTCTGCCCCTGCTTTTCTGGAGGACAGGCCCTAAACAGGCTCCTGAGATGTGGTCGCCGCTCCTGCCCCCTCACCCACCAGAGAGGACGGGCCCTAGACAGGCTCCTGAGATGTGGCCGCCGCTGCTGCCCCCCTCACCCACCAGAGAGGACGGGCCCTAGACAGGCTCCTGAGATGTGGCCGCTGCTGCTGCCCCCTCACCCACCGGAAGCTCACGGTCTGGAGCTCACCCAGAATCCTTGGGTGGTCTTCACCCACAGCCTGTAGAAAAGCCACATGGATTCAAGGCCAGGCCTCTGCACTGAGTCCTCTGTCCCCGAAGGCAGAGGGGTCTTGGAGCCGGCCCCAGCATAGCCATCCCAGCTGTGCCCCAGGGCCGCCTTCTCACATCCAGTTGAGGGCCTGGCACCCCCAGCAAGAGCTACACAAAGAGCCCCTCTGGCCAGCCCTGCCCCCACCTTTCCTTGTGGAGGGTCCTCAAGTCTAAGGTCCTCAGGGGTTTGCTAAGGCCTGTCGGGGGCCCTGCTCTGCAGAAGCAGCCTCCTCCTGTGGACAAGGCTAAAGGCACCCACAAATGCCAGAAAGCAGCAGAGCCTGCAGGCCACGGAAGCCACGAGCCAGGGCAGCTGCAGGCACTCACCTGGTGATAGGCACCCTGACCCACTGGCATCTGAGATTCTCCTCCACACCTCCCCCCATCCTCCTCACCTCCACCCATCCTCACCTCCCCCCGTCCTCCTCACCTCCCCTATGTCCTCACCTCACCCCTCCTCACCTTCCCTATGTCCTCCTCACCTCCCCTCCATCGTCCTCACCTCCCCTATGTCCTCCTCACTTCTCCCCGTTCTCCTCACCTTCCCTATGTCCTCCTCACCTCTCTCCGTCTTCCTCACCTCCCCTATGTCCTCCTCACCTACCCCCATCCTCGCCTCCATGTCACCTTCCCCTTCACCGTGCCCCGGTCCTCCTCACCTCCCCCATGTCCTCACCTCCCCCCATTCTCCTCAACTTCCCCCTCACTGCGCCCCCTGTCCTACTCACCTCCTCCCATCCTCCTCACCTCCCCATGTCCTCCTCACCTTCCCCCCAACTGCAACCCCCATCCTCCTCCCCTCCCCTCCATGTCCTCACTTCTCCCCCATCCTCTGGGCTGTGACTTCCCACCCTCCGGGTCCTGGCCCAGTGTCTGGCCTCCCAGCGAGGGGCAAGGTTGAGAGAGGCTGACCGGCATCTCAGACATGAGTCAGCCCATTCAGTCCCTTTTCCAGGGGCCACACTGAGTCGGCCCATTTGGTTCCTTTCCCAGGGGCCACACTCGAAGTCACAAGAGCCTTGATGTGTTGCAGTGACCGCCTGCTGCTCAGGCTGACTGGCTTGTGACCCTGGCACCTGGAGGCCTGTCTCAGATCCAGCCCATCCTGCCCACCACATTTTCTGGACAAACCCTTGTCTCCAAGGAGACAGTGGCCACTGGTCCCTGAGTTTCTCAGGGAGTTGGGCCTGCCCCTTGGGATCTGGAGGCCCCTGCAGCATGGGAAAAGTGGCCACCCCCAGTGTCACAAGGGAGGGAGCTCAGCAGGCAGGGGAGAACCTCACAGAGGCTCAGAGCTGGGATGGGACGGGCGACGTGTGGCTCTTCACAGGCGACTGTGGCTGTTTGTTCATTTCAGAATATCCCTTAAGCCAACTCTCCCAGGCAGGTGAATTATAAAATCAACACAGTGCTTTGAAGAAATCCTTAAAAGGACGACATGAAAGTGTTGTTTATTTATTTATTTATTTATTTTTTTGAGGCGGAGTCTCGCTCTGTCACCCAGGCTGGAGTGCAGTGGCCGGATCTCAGCTCACTGCAAGCTCCGCCTCCCAGGTTCAGGCCATTCTCCTGCCTCAGCCTCCCGAGTAGCTGGGACTACAGGCGCCGCCACCTCACCCGGCTAGTTTTTTGTATTTTTTAGTAGGGAAGGGGTTTCACTGTGTTAGCCAGGATGGTCTCGATCTCCTGACCTAGTGATCCTTCCATCCCGGCCTCCCAAAGTGCTGGGATTACAGGCTTGAGCCACCGCACCCGGCCAAGTGTTGTTTATTTTAATCAATTCCGCTAAATCTGTGGATGGATAGAGGCCATGCTTTAAGACAATCTCCAGCAAATTAAGGCGAACAGTTCTGCAGAAGAATGAAGATCACGCCTAGAGTATACCTCCGAGGTCCTGGGAGTCCTGGGCACAGGCGGGACCCAGAGGACAAGGGTGAGTCTATCCACAGGCGGGTCTGGGCGCTGGTGAACCTCAGAGAGTGCAGGAGGTTCCCGGTGTCGTCTGGATTTCCAGGCTTTGCTTTGCATCTTGCCTCCCTCTGGCCCTCTTGCTCCCAGTCTGGCTCTGGCTGCCCCTCCATGCAGCGCCGCCCTCTGTCCAAGGCTCTGAGTGGGGCTACCTGGAAGAGGAGCCCAAGGCCTCCTCACCCCTCCCAGAGCTGACAGCTGGGGGTTCCACCCAGCATCGCCCTGTGGCATCTGCCCAAATGCCCCGTGGGCATCCTGCCTTCCTCCACCTGGTGAAAGTTCTGTGGGAGGCGCCCTCCATCCTGCCAGGCCTTTATCATACCATGCTCTGGGCAATGCTTTTGTTAAATAAGATAACGTGAGCCCTCCCCAAGTTACCTGTCCTGCAGGGTGCAGGGTGGCGACTCGCGCCCAGAGGAATGACCTTCACCGGCTTGTGCTGGATTAGCAGGTGACTGTGCAGGACATCTGATTGTGCAGCTTAGAGCCAGAGCCGCGACCAGAGCAAATTATGCAGGGTGGGGTGAGCTCACGCCCAGAGGAAGTGACCTTCACCGGCTTGTCTGGATCAGCAGGTGACTGTGCAGGACACATCCGACTGTGCAGCCTACATGAGAAACCGCTGCAGGGTTGCAGGAGGAGAATTGGCGACTCACGCCCAGAGGAATGACCTTCACCGGCTTGTCCTGGATCAGCAGGTGACTGTGCAGGACATCTAGTTATTTTTGGCACAGAAGCGAAACCCTGTGCAGGGTGCAGGGTGCAGGAGTGGCGACTTCCGCCCCCAGAGGAGCCTTCACCGGCTTGTCCTGGATCAGCAGAGTGACTGTGCAGGACATCCGACTGTGCAGCTTTACAGCCAGAGCATTGTGCAGGGTGCAGGGTGCAGAGGTGGCGACTCACGCCCAGAGGAATGACCTTCACCGGCTTGTGCTGGATTAGCAGGTGACTGTGCAGGACATCCGATTGTGCAGCTTAGAGCCAGAGCCGCTGTGCAGGGTGCTGCCCCCAAGCCATCCCAGCGCATCCCGGCGCGGGAGGCAGGGTCACCCAGCTGGATTAAAGGGAAGGGAGTGGAAAGTAGGGTCCAGCATCCTGCCACCCCTGGACACACAGTAAGGGGAGCTGCTCTGGGCATGGCACAGGGTGGGAGGGAGCGCTGGCTGCACCTGGTCCTGCCCCCTGGACACACAGTAAGGGGCTGCTCCTGGGCATGGCTTTGGGGTGGGAGGGGCAGCTGGCTACACACACTGGCCAGGGGAGGACCCCTCTTTGCCTCCACACCTCACGCCCCCTCCCTGGTTTCTCTGCTTTTGCTTCCTGACCTGTGTCCCCCAGCACACACCTATCAGCCAGAGGGCAGAGGAGCCCCCTCCCCAGTAAGGACTCACCCAGGCCGAGCAGCCCAGGTGGAAAAGGTTGCCATGAGCCGGGGCTTTCCTGAGTCCAGTCCAGTCCCCCTTCGGGGTATGTCAGCCTGGTGGGCAGAGCTCTATGCCCTTGAGGCTCACCAGGTTGAGAGGCTGGACAGGCGAGGACACCCCGATGCCATGTGGCTGAGCAAACGTGGCAGGCAGAGCGAGGACAGAGGGAGGGACACATGCTAGTGCCAGAAGGAGGCTGCCCACGGCCAAGTGGCCAACACTGGTCTTCCCAGCCAGCACGGAGAGTGCCAGAGGCATCAGGTGGCCCCTGGGGAACATAACTGGCCAGACAATGGGCTGGAGCCAGGGAAGGCCTGGACGCCTGCCAGACCACCCTGGAGATTCCCGTCACTGTGGCCTCCATTGCTGCATACTGGGCCCCGAGAGTGCCACACCCATGGCCATGGGCAGCCCCGGTGGATGGCGAGGGGCGGCCCACACTGTGGGCTCACGTCCCCTGTCCTGGAGGCAACAACCATGTGCCGGGACCCACCTCAGGGTAGGCTGTGGGGGGCATGGGGTCCGGGCTTTAGATGTAGGACAAGGGACCCACCTGGCCTCCAGACACACAATTTGGGGAACTCCTCTCGCTCATTGGTTTGTGTGGCTGGGCAGTTTGTCTGTGTCTTGCCATGTGGGATGGGACCAAGAACCATGAGCACCAACTCAGTCAGCGGGTCACCTCCCTGGAGCTGGCGGTGCAGACTCTGCGCGTCCTGCCCAGAAGGCACCAACTGTTGTGATGCCCAGAGCCCCGTTCAGGAGGCCTCTCCACCTCTCTCTCGGGCTCCCTGGGCACTGCAGCCTGACTCTGAAGGGGGCTGCAGGCACGACTTTCCCAGCACCCAAAGCCCAGCTCATTTTCCCCACCTGGGTGATGCAAGGTGTGTGTGGCTCTGTCTTTTTTGGAAGCTTTGGTGCTGGCCGATTCAGCTCATCATAAAAGGCTTGAAACACTGGCTTGGGACAGCGTCTGTGGACCTCCCCTCGGACTAAAATAGCAACTTGGGGGTTTAGCCCTGTCCCATCGATCCCCAGGGCTGCATGTTCTCCATTCTTCCAATGGGGATCTAGGGGGTTAAAGATTACTCGTTTGGGGGGTTACGGGACCAGGATCTAGGGGTTAAGTTACTCGTTTGGTGGGTTACGGGGACCGGGATCTGGGGGGGTTAGGGTGTCGTTTGGTGGGTCAGAGGGACCGGGATCTAGGGGTTAGAGATTACTCGTTTGAAGGGTTACGGGGACCCGGGGATCTAGGGGGTTAGAAGTTACTCGTTTGGTGATTCACGAGGACCGGGATCTAGGGGTTAGAGATTATTCGTTTGGTGGGTCAGAGGGACCGGGATCTAGGGGTTAGAAGTTACTCGTTTTGGGGGGTTACGGGGACCGGGATCTAGGGGGTTAGAGATTACTCGTTTGGTGGAGTTCACGGGGACCGGGATCCCCAGGGTTAAGAGATTATTCGTTTGGTGGAGTTACGGGGACCGGGATCTAGGGGTTAGAATTATTCGTTTGGCAGGTTACAGGACCAGTATCTAGGAGAGATTGGTTGCCTTTTTGAAGGTGGGTTACGGGGACCGGGATCTAGGGGGTTAGAGATTATTCGTTTGGCAGGTTACAGGGACCAGTATCTAGGAGAGATTGGTTGCCCCTTTTTGAAGGTGAACTGGGTCCTTTTTGTCCTGTTTTTAAGTAGCCTAAATAACACATGGCCAATAGGCACAATTTTCACAGACCCTTAACTTATGACAAACATGTTTATTTTTTACTGTGTAGCTCTTTCCCTAGTTAAGGGAACTACATTTTAATTCTAGCTTGTTACCATTAATGGCTGCACAAACATCAAATTTTAAAGTTACTTGTTTGGGAATTTCTTTTTCTTCTGTTCTAGTTATTATTTTACTTGTATCACCAAGGAAAGGACCAGTTTTTAATTTTATTTTAAAAATGGTGGTTGCAGGGGGCTTGGATGGAATTTAACAGACATCAGATTGGTCATTTCCTGGGCTACTGAGTGGCGTTATACAAGCATGTTCCTTTTAATGTTCCTGTACATTTATAATAACTATAGAATGAAGGGAGACAGCCCCTCCACGCCTGTGGGTATTTCTCATCAGGTGGGATGAGAGACTGAGAAAAGAAATAAGACACAGAGACAAAGTACAGAGAAAGAACAGTGAGCCCAGGGGACCGGCACTCAGCACACGGAGGACCCGCCCCGGCCCCGGTCTCTGAGTTCCCTCAGTATTTACTGATTACTATTTTCACTATCTCAGCAAGAGGAACGCGGCAGGAGAGCAGGGTGACAGTGGGGAGAAGGTCAGCAAGAAAACATGTGAGCAAAGGAATGTGTGTCACAAATAAGTTCAAGGGAAGGTGCTACGCCTGGATGTGCACATGGGCCAGATTTATGCTTCTCTCCACCCAAGTATCTCAGTGGAGTAAAGACTAACAGAGCAGCATTGCTGCCAACATGTCTCACCTCCCGCCACAGGGTTTTTTTAATCTCAGAACTGAACGAATGTACAATCGAGTGTTACACCGAGACATTCCATTCCCAGAGGCAGGCAGGAGACAGAGGCCTTCCTCTTATTTCAACTGCAAGAGGCCTTCCTCTTTTACTAATCCTCCTCAGCACAGACCCTCCAAGGGTGTCAGGTTGGGGGACGGTCAGGCTTTCCCATCCCACGAGGCCATATCTCAGGCTATCTCAGTGGGGAGAAGCCGTGGATGATACCCAGCTTTCCAGGGCAGAGGTCCCTGCAGCTTTCCGCAGTGCATTGTGCCCCTGGTTTATCGAGAATGGAGAATGGCGATGACTTTTCCCAAGCACACTGCCTGTAAACATATTGTTCGCAAGGCACATCCTGCACAGCCCTAGATCCTTACACCTTGATTCCATACAACACATGTTCCTGTGAGCTCAAGGTTGGGGCAAAGTTACAGAATAACAGCATCTCAGGGCAAAACAATTGTTCAGGGTACAGATCAGAATGGAGTTCTTATGTCTTCCTTTTCTACATAGACACAGTGACAGTTTGATCTCTCTTTCTTTTCCCTACGTTTACAAATGCCACAGTGAAGAGCTTTGTTGTAAACACATTCAGGCTGTGAAAAGAACTCTGTGCGTAAAGTCCTTTCATTTCTTTGCCAGAGTTTTTTTGAGGCAGATTCTAGAATTGCTGAGTCAAAGGGCAAATGCCACATACTTTCGTTAGACGCTGCCAAATCCTCTTCCACGAGGCTGCAACGTTCTGCATTCCACAGTGACGTACGAGAATCCTTGTACCCCACAGCTTCATAAACAAAACATGATGGCAAACCTGCACGTTTACCAATCACACAGGTAAGAAATTTCATCCTAGTTTCACCTTTTTTTTGGTTAGCATTTTTATTACCAGCTTTTTTTTGGTGTAATGCACAGAAGGTAATGAACACATTCTACCTGCTGCAAGCTTCTTCCTGTGCCTTGAGAATCTGCTCCTGCCAGTCTGCAGGGAACCACAGATCTGCCTTCCGTCACACAGGAGGCATTCTCGACACCCTCTGTACACAGCATGCACTTTTTTATTTGGCTTCTCTTACGCAGCATAGTGACTATAGTGACTTTCAGATTTATTCAAGCTGCTGCATGTGCCAACAGTCCACTCCTTCCTAGTGCTGAGGCCCCATCACATAAGCACAACTGTTTCCTCTGCGTGATGTGTTGTTCTCTGGCTGTACACGGCCAAAAAAGACATCATTTAAAAAAAAAAAAAAAAAAATCTAAATATAATGTAAACCCTGCCTTGCCTTAGGAAAGTTTTTCTGGCGGTGGCTCACACCTATAATCCCAATACTCTGGGAGGCTGAGGCAGGAGGACTGCTTGAGCCCAGGAGTTTGAGATCAGCCTGGGCAAGATGGTGAAACCCCATCTCTGTAAAAAATATAAAAATTAGCCAGGCAGAGTGGCTCACACCTGTAGTCTCAGCTCCTTGAGAAGCTGAGGTGGGAGGATTGCTGGAGCCCGGGCGGTGGAGGTTGTAGTGAGCTGAGATCACACCACTGCACTCCAGCCTGGGCAGCATGGCAAAACTCTGTCTCTACCAAGAAAAAAACAAAAAATTAATAGAAGGAAAAACAAAAGGTTTTTCTTACCAAAAATACACTTTAAGGAACAAATTTATCATATTAAGTTGGTGCAAAAGTAATGTGGCTTTTACCATTGAAAGTAATGGCAAAAACTGCAATTACTTTTGCACCAACCTAATATTATTTTCTAATGACGAACTTGGAAATAATTGTCATTGTTCTCTAAAAAGAACAGTCTTAAAATAAAGCAGCAGCCCATTTACTTCTACGCCAGTTCTTTTAGTATTTGGCTATTTAAACTGGCGGTCCCTAACTGTTTTGGCACCAGGGACTGGTTTCACGGAACACACTTTTTCCATGGACAAGTGTGGGGATGGTGGGGATGGTCTGGAGATGAAACGGTTCCACCTCAGATCATGAGCATTAAATTCTCATAAGCAGCGCATAACCTAGATCCTTCGCATGCGCAGTTCACAACAGGGTTCCATTCCTATAAGAATCTAATGCCACCACTGATCTGACAGGAGGCGGAGTTCACACAGTAATGATCTGACAGGGGCGGGGCTCACACAGTAATGATCTGACAGGGGGCGGGGCTCACACAGTAATGATCTGACAGGGGGCGGAGCTCACACAGTAATGATCTGATGGGGGCGGAGCTCACAGTAATGATCTGACAGGGGGCGGAGCTCACACATTAATGATCTGACGGGGGGCGGAGCTCACACTAATGATCTGAGAGGAGGCAGAGCTCACACAGTAATGCTCTGGCAGGGGGCGGAGCTCACACAGTAATGTTCACTGGCCAGCTGCTCACCCCCTACTGTGCGGCCCGGTTCCCAACAGGCCATGGAAGTGGTACCAATTTGTGGCCTGGGGATTGGGGACCCCTGATTTAAATAATCGAGGACACACTGACCTAGTAAACCATCTGCCAAGAAAAGGGAGGAAATACTAGTTTTCTCCATTCGCTCTCAGGCACCAACATTAATTTGAACTTAGAAATAAACTACAATAAGGCCAGGCATGGTGGTTCACACCTATAATTCCAGCACTTTGGGAGGCCAAGGAGGAAGGATCACCTGAGCCCAGGAGTTTGAGAACAGCCTAGGCAACATAGTGAGACCCTGTCCCTACAATTAAAAAATAAATTAGCTGGGCATGGTGGTGCACACCTGTAGCCCCAACTACTCAGAAGGCTGGGTTGGGAAGATCACTTGAGCTGCCCAGGAGTTTGAGGCTGCAGTAAACTGAGACTGCACCACTGCACTGATCCTGTCTCAAAAAAAGAAAAGAAAAAAGAAAAAAAAGAAACCACAACAAAATATCTGGATTTTGATGTAACAGAATACAAAGATTATTACATTTGATTTTTAGGTCAACAAATATGACTAAAGTCATAATAGTAAAATATTTTAAATGGATTTGGAAATAAAAGAAAGTTTGTTCATTTGTATTTTATTTAAGAGCTGTGCCCAGTTTTATCATCTCACAAGAATGAAGCAAGGGACAAAGGTAAGTGCCACGTTCCCTGGCCACTGGGTTCCTGGTAAGCTACCAGCCACTGGGTGCCAATCTCCCTTCAATGTACTCCTTTTTCCCCGGAGTGCAGAAGCATATAAAGGCAGTTATGACATGGACACATGCATGAGCTATTATACATAATTACAAAAGCTGATTCTGTTATCACTGCATCTTGTCTCATCAGTAGGAGCGAATGGCTGGGGGGACGGTGGCACAGTCAGCCTCGTTCAAAGTTTTGTCGATTACGGGTCTATATTCCAGAGTGACCTTGAAAAGAAGAATCAGTGGTAAGCATAAAAATGTACAAAAAGCCATCTCATGTATTCCTTTTGAAAAATTTTAACTATAAAAGTAGATTAATGGCATGGGAACTTAAAGGTATTTGCCGCAGTCTTTTCCAATAACAAATTCAAAAATGATCTACATGCGCAACAGGGGACTGTAAATGGCGGCAGATCCGTAGAGTGGAACAGAGCGACGAAATGACCCTGTGCCAGATTCTCAGTGCTTTACAAAAATGCTCCCGTCATGAAAAGTGGGAGAACCCTTGTCTATACCGAGACACTGTATGTTTAAACTACCTACTTCCAGTTCAAAGTAAATATTTACATAGGTTGAACATCCCTAATCCAAAAATCTGAAATTCTCCAAAACCTGAAGCTTTCTGAGCACCAACATGACATTCAAAAGAAATGTGCTATGGAGTCAGATCTTCCGACTGGGGACGCTCAGACAGTAAGTATCATGCAGATATATTCCAAAGTCTGAACAAGCCTGAAATCCGAAACACTTCTGGTCCCAAGGATTTCAGAGAAGGAATACTCAAGTTGTGTATTAAAAATGCACACACACGAAAAGGTAGGCACATATACAAAGAAATTTAAACCATAATGGGTCGTCTCTGGTTAGTGAGCTCTTATTTCAATCTCTTTGTACTTTCTGAAATGAATATGTATTTCTTGAAAAATCACTAAAACTGGCTGAGCGTGTTGGTTCATGCCTGTTGGGGAGGTCAAGACAGGTGGATCACTTGAGTTCAAGACTAGCCTAGGCAATGTGGTGAAATCCCGTCTCTACAAAACATACAAAAATTAGCCAGGCATGGTGGCGTGTGCCTGGGAGGCTGAGGTGGGAGGATCACCTGAGCCAGGGGGAGGTTGAGGCTGCAGTGAGACAAGATCGAGCCACCACATTTCAGCCTGGGCAACAGAGATGAGACTGTCTCAGAAAAACAAAAAACCCGAACCTGGAAACATTAAAAACAGACTTGTGCTAGGCGAGTGAGGTGTGATTTCTATATACGATCAGGAAATGGCCTTCATGACAAATTCTGAAAATGACCTACTGCCTGAATTACAGACACACTAGATGATAGTGAGAGTCCAAAGGTAACTTCCACAGACACAGATAAGTGATTATACGACTATCTCTTACAAGCTACGAAAAGCTTAAGGGTAAAAGCTTTCTATCTTCATTATTTCTGAATCTTAATGCCCAGCGGAAATGCCACACAGGTGAACTGTGCTTGTGTGGAACAAGGCTGCAGCCCCCCTACCACACCCTTGGCTGGCTGTTCCCAGGACGCTGCTCACCACAAACCCTCTGCTCACCCCAACCCCTCCTCAATTTCTGCCCTTCCCTTCTCTGCTTGCTCAGTGCCCAGGGGATGCTAAGGGCTGCACCACCTCCCCTCGGCTCCCGTGCAGATGCTTCCAGTTGGGCCAGCTCAAGGGAGGAGAGGGGAGGGGTCTCTTCTGGGCTCCCTTGGCTTGGGACTGGTTTCTGGTAGTGGCTGTGTGTCCCCACCCCACAGACGCTGACTTTCTCCCTAAGTCCACAATCCTCATCTCCTCCCCGCCACCAGGCCTTGGACACTTGCTCCTGCCCAGGGACTTCCATCTGGCCCACACCACGGAGCAGCCCTTCCTCAAGGCTCCTCTGAGCCACCTGCAGGCGCTGGATTCAGTTTCCAGCCAGAAGCCTGACTGCTGTCAGAGTGCCTGTTTCAGTGGTGCCTCAAATCTGTCAGGAGTTGATTTAAATCCGGCCTGCTCCTCCCGGTTCACCATCAGCAAGGTCAGCCCGCGAACCTGGGCGGGGCCGTGCGCATTTTGGGCTGTGGTGAGAACCAGCTCCACACTGACCTTCCCAGTGCTGACGTCCACGTAGGACAGGGTGTGCTTCCTCCAGTGCTCCTCAAAAGGCTTCTTCTGTTGCCCCTGGATGGGCTTGGAGTAATCGTACTCATCAATCCGCACCTGAGGCCAGAAACACCATCACGTATCTTATTACTCTAACAGAGCAATACAGAAAAAACACAGCAAACATTAAAATGATCTAAGAGACAGATGCCCTAGAACTCATTCCATTTCCACATCAGCCCCGGCACCATCAACATGTTCAGAACCCACGGAGGCCACATGGCTGGCCAGGGGGTGTGCAGCCAGCAGTGAGTCCAGAGGAATCCGTGTCCGCACGTTCCCTCAGACACCCTTTATGTACCTGAGAGTTCACCAAATACTTTGTCTTTCTGCTGCACGCGCTGGGGGACTACCTACTACCTCCATCTTCTCTTTCAGCCTGTTTTTATTTAAAAAAAACTTGTTTTTCTTTTGAGACAGGCTCTCGCTATGTCACCCAGGCTGGAGTGCAGTGGTGTGATCACAGCTCGCTGGAGCCTTGACTTCCCCGGCTCAATCAATCATCCTGCCTCAGCCTCCTGTGCGTACCACCACGCCTGGCTAATTTTTTATTTTTGTGTAGAGACAGGTTTCGCCATGTTGCCCAGGCTGGTCTAGAACTCCGGGCTCAAGTGATCTGCCTGCCTCAGCCTCCCAAATGCTGGGATTACAGGTGTGAGCCACTGCACCTGGCTTCTATTCTAATTAAAACTTGTTGTTACCAACTGAATTTATGCTACTGGCCAGGCACAGTGGCTCACGCCTGTAATCCCAGCACTTTGGGAGGCCGAGGTGTGTGGTTCACTTGAGGTCAGGAGTTCAAGACCAGCCCGGCCAACATGGTGAAACCCCAACTCTACTGAAAATACAAAATTAGCCAGGCATGGTGGCATGCATCTGTAATCCCAGCTGCTTGGGAGGCTGAGGCAGGAGAATCACTTGAACCCGGGAGGCAGAGCTTGCAGTGAGCTGAGATCACGCCACTGCACTTCAGCCTGGGGGACAGCGAGACTCTATCTCAAAAAAATAAAAAATAATAAATTTATTTTTATTCTGTATTCTGGCAAACACGGATTCATATACTTCGCAGGAAAGACTCTTAATATGTACAAAGAGGCAAGAGCAAGTTCTGAGCAGTGATCACAGCCATCAGCATATTCCAGTGGAGGGTAAATCGGTAAAATTTCATGGTGAATAAAAATGATTTCCCACTCACCGCGTTCAGCTGACTGGAAAGGCCGCCAGCAGCCGCCCACACACGGTCCTGAACCAGCCTGTGTGCCTGCCTCGTGCAGCCTTTGTCCTTTTGCTGATGTGGTTTATCCTGAACTTGCATTTGTACCCCAAGCTTCCCTTTCCGTGATTTTTTGCTATCGTATGTGAAAAACTCTTACCAGGCAGAATCCAACACGTGTGCTCTGCACAAAAATCAGTTCACCTGAAGAACAAGTGACCACAGGGCAGGCTCTATAATACCTTTTCCAAACCACAGGGCAGGTCTGAAACGGTGGCTTACTCGTTATTTAATAAACTGGCATTTCCTCCTTAGGGCAGGTCTGAAATGGTGGCTTACTTGTTATTTAATAAACTGGCATTTCCTCCACAGGGCAGGTCTGAAACGGTGGCTTACTCGTTACTTAATAAACTGGCATTTCCTCCTTAGGGCAGGTTTGAAACGGTGGCTTACTCGTTATTTAATAAACTGGCATTTATTTCCTGGTCATGCCACTCTGGCTGCACTTCTAACCTTGGCCTTCTAACAGCAAAGCACATTGGCTTGGAGATGCCACTGCTGCCATCAGTGGACGCTGACCCAAAGCAAGGAAAAGGTCACAGTGATCCAGAGGATGGCGGGAACCCAGGGATCAAAGTTAACAGGGGGAAAAAGGCATTTTTTGGATTTACTGTTGGGGAAATGAAATAAAATGCAGAGAAAATGCAGGGGTGGGGCTGAGTCCCACCAGGTGGGAGGAAAAGGCAGGTGCAGGTGGGTGTGGCGAGAAGGCGCACCTTGTAGTCTTCCCTGGCGTGGGCGCCCCGTGACTCCTTCCGCGCCTCTGCTCCGTAGATGGTCTGCAGCGCACACAGCATCAGGTTCTGCAGCTCCAGGGTCTCCACCAGGTCCGTGTTCCAGACCATTCCTGGGGACACAAAAAGTTCCACCAGGGGCAGGCGGGACCCGTCACAGGGGCCTTCTGAGCTGTCCGCCTGGGCCTGCTAGTCCGTGGAGCCACTGGTTATGGCTTTATGGCTGTGGGCCAGGACCCATCCGGACAGCAAGCATGGAACTAAGTCAGCACTGACGGGACAGACACCAGCCCACCCTGCAGAAGGCAGGGCCCAACACTGCACAGAGCCCGCTGTGCTGTCTGCTCACCCCGGTCAAACGTCTTCAGGTGCTTCAGGTCTCCGTAGAGCTTGCTGATTTTCCCACAACCTTCTTGCAACACGCTTCCCACACGGAACACGGCAGCATGATTTTGCATTGACTGTGGCACAAAATATTATTGGTAAACTTTTAATCCATAGAAGCAGCCACACCAAGAACTGCTTAACTTTTAGACTTAACTGTTGTTTTGCATTTCAGCTGAGTTATGTAAATTAAATAGAAAAATTAGGAAATTCAGATGAGTTTATTACTCTGAACTTAAAAATGAAGTTTTGACTAAAGCTCTGAATACATGTTTCTGTTACATACACATCTTAGACCCAGACACATCCTTTCCAGTGGGATACAGCCAGGCTCCAGGACTCCAAGCAGACTGCCTGTGAGGCACCATGTTCCACATGGCTCCGCGGCCAACCAGGCAATGCTGCCTCCCCACACCCCTGGCGGGACTCCTGACGTGGGGTCTGGTGGTGAACGTGACACAAGAAAGCAGCCCTGTGGTGACACAAACTAGGAGGAGCTGAGCAGAGCCCTGGTGATAGTGGGGTTGGAGCTGAAGGTCTTCAGTGAGAGGGAGGGGCGTGGGTGGCTGGGGCCCTTGGCCCATCTGGCTACTGTCTTCTGCCTATTTTGTAGACGCTTCTTGTACACTGACTTCTTTCATAGTTTTACTGTGGCGAGAAACGTGCCATGCAGTGGACCCGAAGTTTACTGTAGGTGTGCTGGCAACCGGGCGTCAGCTTTTGCTTCCTGTGGGACAGACAGACACCACCTCCGTGATCCCTCCTCCTCCTTGCTTCTCCCTCTAACTCTGCTTTGCTCCCCTGACCCTAATTGTTTCCTCCTCTACCAATGCACCTTCATGGTTTAATTTGGACATTTCATCTGATTTTCCTTAGACTCATACATAATCATGACACTGAAATGCACATCAACCTAATGGTTTTTCAGGAAGAACAAATGAAAAAAGTTGCATCTCAGAATCTAGTATTATATTTTTTCATGTCCTTTAGCAGCCACGTTTTCATATCCTTTCTTGTATTTCTGGTTACATTATTTCAAGGCATTTTTAATTTTTTGTTTGAAATGTGAATGAGATATTCACTGATGTCTGAGCAGATTACTGCTGGCACATCACAAAGCTACTGATTTTTAGATATGCTTCCTGTGATGCAGACAGACACCACCTCCTGATCCTCCTCCCTCCTCCTTGCTTCTCCCTCTAACTCTGCTTTGCTCCTGACTCCCACCTGTTTCCTCCTCTACCAATGCACCTTCATGGTTTAATTTGGACATTTCATCTGATTTTCCTTAGACTCTAAGCATAATCATGACACTGAAATGCACATCAACCTAATGGTTTTTCAGGAAGAACAAATGAAAAAAGTTGCATCTCAGAATCTAGTATTATATTTTTTCATGTCCTTTAGCAGCTACTTCTTTTCATATCCTTTCTTGTATTTCTGGGTTACATTATTTGCCAGCATTTTTAATTTTTTGTTTGAAATGTGAATGAGATATTCACTGATGTCTGAGCAGACATTAAGGCACATCACAAAAGCTACTGATTTTTTAGATACAAATCTCTTGTCCAAGCAGACACTCCTGCTTACTGCATTCTTTTGTTTTAGTTTCTGTTAGTTTTTCAGTTTATTCTCTGGGAATTTTTTGGAAATTATGTCTTGTAACAATAGCAATTTTATCTATTCTTTTCAATATTTACTGCCGAGACTAACTCGATCGTGGAGACCCCAACCCAGCAGCACTGCCCAGAGGAATTAAAGACACACACAGAAAATAAGCATGTGGAGTGGGGGAAATCAACAGGGGTCTCACAGCCTTCAGAGCTGAGAGCCTCGAACAGAGATTTACCCACATATTTACTGACAGCAAGCCAGTTATAAGATTTACTAAAAGTATTCCTTACGGGAAACAAAGGGACGGCTCTGGCTGCTACTCCTTGCAGGCACACGCCCTAAGGCACACATTGCTCATGCTACTGTTTGTGGTTTAAGAAACACTTATGCGGTTTTCCTACTGGGAAGCCAGGTGTTCTGCCCTCATTCCGGAAAACCCACAACCTTCCAGCGTGGCGTCATGGCCATCATGAGTATATCATGGTGCTGCAGAGATTTTGTTTATGGCCAGTTTAGGGCCTGTTCCCAACAATTTATTCTTTTCTATTTCTTTTTTTGATTCTTCTTACTATTAATAGCCAGAGTCAGCAGAAAAATCCCTTCCCCCAACAAAACGACGTTTCTAAGCAAGCACAGGAAGCTCTGTTTATCAGTGCTGACTCCAGCATTCACGAGCCTGCGAGCAGCAGGCACCTAAGACACACCTTGTTTGGCAGGAGAATGTTTCTAGTATTCTCACTTCAAACTGTCTCATTGGATTTGCCATTTCTGGGTATCCTAAGGCATGTTCCCATTCTCTAATGCAATGGTTCCTTCTCTCACAGCTGGCCTCCAACCCTACAAAAGTACTGCAGGGCATCACTCAGCCTTCTGTGCCTTAGTCACACCTGTTCTTCTCACTGCCCCACAAAGCTTCCTTCTCAAGCCCAGCCTCACTTCAGGACCGAAGGGCACTGTCCACAGCCTCCTCCAGCCTCAGCCTCACTTCACAGGACTGGAAGGGCACCGTCCCACAAAGCTCTCCTCAAGCCCAGCCCACTTGGTGGACCCAAGTGGCACCGGCTCCCACAAAGCCTCCCTCTTAGCTCAGCTCTCACTTCAGGACTGCTGGCACTGGCCCCACAAAGCCTCCTCCAGCCCAGCCTCACTTCAGGACTGAAGGCACTGCCCCACACAAAAGCCTCCCTCCAGCCTGGCACTCTCGCTTCAGGACTGAAGTGGGCACCGCTCCACAAAGCCTCCCCTCCAGCCCAGCTCACTTCTGTGGGCGAAGGGCACTGCCTCCACAAAGCCTCCCTCCAGCCCAGCCTCAAGTTTCAGACCAAAGGGCACCCGCCCCACAAAGCTCCCTCCCTCAAGCCCAGCTCACTTCAGGGCTGAAGGGCACTGCCCCACAGCCTCTCCTCCAGCCTAGCCTCTACTTCAGGACTGAAGGGCACCGCCCCACAAAGCCTCCCCTCCAGCCCAGCCTCTCACTTCAGGACCGGCGGCACCGCCCCAGCTACAAAGCCTTCCTCGCTTCTCCAGCCTCACTTCAGGGCTGAAGGGCACAGCCTCTGAAATGTCAGCAGGGAACCTGTTCTCTTGTGTCTTAACACCAAACGCCTTTCAGAACAGGACTAAAGCAATGGACTTCTTTTTAGAAAATACGCAGAAATTCTTGCAAATAGTAGACAAGAGATCTCATTCATGGACAAGAATCCTTGTTATTAGAGGAATTCAGTTTCTTAGACTGACTATATATCAAGTTCTCCACAGCCCTCTGTGGCTAATGGCTGCCACACTGGACAGCAAACACTCGGAACATTTCCATCATCACAGACGGTCCTATTGGACCGACTCCCAGCAGCACAGGCCGCACACATCAGTTTCCACCCACCGCCCACTCTCCCTCTCTTCTGAGTATATTCAGGGGCAGCAACAGGCCCGGCTTAAAGACATTTCCAAGCTGCTGGAAGCCAGGCATGATGACATGATCAATATGTGGGCCTGAGATGTAAGCACCAGTATTGTGTTGAACTCCAGGAAACCTGCTAAGAGAAAGCTGCCCTGCTGGGGACTGAGCTTCTCCGGCAGTCCTGCTGCTCCCTCTCCTCCACGCTGTGACTCATCCATGACAGCCTGTGACGGTCAGGGCACGGAGGTCACGCCCAAGCACACACGAGTGAACCAGAGAAGGCTGTCCTGGATGCTAAACAGTCACTAATTCTGCCCTAGCCTGCTGACCTTCTATGTGGAAAAGTGCACTTCTGTATAGTTCAGGCCTCCTGGTCTCTTTCATATTCTTGATACGGTGAGGAGTACGTCCTACTGCTGTTTACCTCGATACTGGTGGAGCCTCGTATGTTTATCGCAGCACTAGTCACAATAGCAAAGTCATGGAATCAACCTAAGTGCCCACCAACGGATGACCGGACAAAGAAAATGTGGTACATAAACACCATGAAATACTCAGCCATAAAAAAATAACGCAATCATGTCTTCTGCAGCCACGTGGATGGAACAGGAGGTCACTATCCTAAGTGAAGTGACTCAAGGTCAAGTGTCACATTCTCACTTGGAAGTGGAAGCTGAAGGGTGAGTACACGTGGCCACACGGAGTGGACTAACAGAGACTGGGGGCTCCAAAAAGCGGGAGGGGTGGGGATGAGCAATTACCTGCTGGGTACAACATACACGACTTGGGTGACGTGAAAAGCCCAGACTCCACCACCTCACGGTACATCCACACAAACTGCACCTGCATCCCCCTAAATCTATTTTTAAAAAAACAAAACCAGTGCAGGGCCAGGTATGCAGCCAGCCTGCTCACTCCAGAGTGAGTCCAGGCTCTTACCTTCTGCATGCTGAGTCGAAGTTCCGACGTTCTTATGCTTCCGTCAGCAAATCTCAATTTGTCAAGATTCATGACAGATTCTTCCCCAGCATTTGGTTTAATTGGAGGGACTTTATCTCCTAAAACAAAAAAAAGTTAGAATTTAACTTTTCAAAACTATTTAAAAAAACCAAATGGATTTAGAATGACACAAAAATCGTATACAGCCGCTCAAAGACTTGGAAGCTGCGAAAGTCTCCTCAACTAACACACTGCCAGCCCGTACCTCTGGGCCATCTGGTGAGCTGGGGCCAGTTTTTTAAAGAACATACATAAAGGCAAAATTGTTGCTTTGATAGACCTCCATTAACCATTGAATAAACTAGAAATCATCTGAAATTAAAATTAAGAAATGAAGGCCGGGTGCGAGGTGGCTCTCGCCTGTAATCCTAGCACTTTGGGAGGCCGAGATAGGTGGATCACTTGAGGTCAGGAGTTCAAGTGCAGCCTGGCCAACGTGGCAAAACCTCGTTTCTACTAAAAACACAAAATTATCGGGGGTACGGTGGTGTGCGCCTATAATCCCAGCTACTCGGGAGGCTGAGGCATGAGAACTGCTTGAACCCGAAAGGTAGAGGTTGCAGTGAGCGAGGGTGCCACTGCACTCCAGTCTGGGCAAGAGCGAGACCCTGTTTTAAAAAAAAAAATTAAATGTATGATTTATATACATTAAGTGTATACAAGCGTCACTTCACTAAGGGAAAAAACAAACCTTTTGCTTCAGATGGTGGTCCCGAGCCGGCCACCCCACCGTCCTTCGCATCAGGAAGGAAGGTGGCTGCTGTGTGCTTGAAAGTCACCTGCTGATTTGGACTCTTGTGTGCTCTCACCTACACTTCAAGATTTGCAATTTTTTTTTTTTTGAGATGGAATTTTGCTCTGTAGCCCAGGCTGGGTGCACTGGCATCTCGGCTCACTGCAACCTCCACCTCCTGGTTCAAGCAATCCTTATGCCTCAGCCTCTGGAGTAGCTGGGACTAGAGGAATATGCTCACTGCAACCTCCACCTCCTGGTTCAAGCAATCCTTATGCCTCAGCCTCTGGAGTAGCTGGGACTAGAGGAGTGTGCCACCATACCTGGCTAATTTTTGTATTTTCAGTAGAGATGGGGTTTCACCATGTTGACCAGGCTGGTCTCAAACTCGTGACCTCAGGTGAGCCACCTGCCTCGGCCTCCCAAAGTGCTGGGATCACAAGTGTGAGCCACTGCGCACAGCCGAGATTTGCAACTCTTGTGTTTCCAAGATGTCTTGAAAAAAGTTTTAAAGTTCTTTTTATAACATTATATATATTTTCTTCAACAGGTAACACATGCAGAAGGTAGGAGGTATGAAATGCAGGAGTCAAACAGGCCCCGCCCTGCCCACCACCTCCCCAGGGGACCAGGGCGTGGGGCTCTTGAGGGCTCAAATGCTTCTAGGATTGCTGGTGTTTCTTTTCCTTTTGATTATAACGCTTTAAAAATGGATCATTCAGTAAAATTGACTTTTTTCTTTCAGTGGACAGTTCTACAATTTCTTTTCTCTTTTTTTTTTTTGAGACAGTGTGTCCTCCCTCTGTTGCTCAGGCTGGATGCAGTGGTGTGATCTCGGCTCACTGCAACCTCCGCCTTCCAGGCTCCAGCAATCCTCCCACCTCAGCCTCCCAAGTAGCTGGGACTACACTGGTGTGAGCCACCACGCCCAGCTAATTTTTGTATTTTTTGCAGAGACGGGGCTTTACCACCTTGCCCAAGCTGGTCTTGAACTCCTGAGCTCAAGCAATCTGCCTGCCTCGGCCTCCCAAAGTGGTGGGATTATAGGCATGAGCCACTGCACCCAGCCTCAGTTCTACCAACTTTAACACATGTATAGACGCATGTAACCACTTTGGGAGGCCGAGACAGGAGGATCACTTGACGCCAGGAGTTCAAGACCATCTTGGGCAACACAGGGAGACCCTGTCCCTACAAAATATTTTTAAAAATTAGCCATGTGTGGTGGCGTGCACCTGACCGTACCACTGCACTCCAGCCTGGGCGACAGAGGGAGACTATCTCTAAAAATATGTATTTTTTGGGGCGGGGGGGAGAAGTAGTGATGCTACAAGCATTTTTTCTTTCCTTTTCATTTTTAAAAATTAAAGCACAAAGATACAGTAAAATAAACTCACCATTTTTAGTGTAGTTTTTCAAATTTTGGTACACAGAGAGCTGTGTCCGTATCAGGAAACAGCCTCTGGCAACCACCAATCCCTTTTCTTCCCCAGATGTGCCTTTTCCAGAATGTTGTATCAAGAGAGCCACAGGTGTGCAGCCTTTTGAGTCTGACTCCACAGCATTCTGCGTGAGATGCTGCATGCGTGAGCGGTTTCTCAGATGTAAAGTATAGGGGGGGTATTCTTACAAAATGTTCTTTTTTTGCATTTTCAGAGAAAAAGAAGCTCAAAATTTCTACATTGCTCTGAGAGAAGTGGTGTCAGTCCTCACTGCTACAAAGTGCAGGGCTGTGGAGTGAGACAAGCACACCCTGTGGCGTCAGGAGCGATGGACCTGAACTCCGCCTTCGCCCAGGATCAGCAGCGACTTGGGGTAAGACTCCAGCTCTGCATGTGCTGGCCTCCCGAGCTGTGGTCAGATCCAGAGACAGAGTGGCTGAAGTAAGCTACCCTTTTAGTACTCTCTGTAATTTTCTAACTACAGATATAAAAGGGGGCATGTTTATAAGTTACGGCAGTCCTAGTTTTTATTTCACTTGAATCCACACAAAAACCACCTGTTCTATAAACACAGCAGAAATGATGTCAAACAGTTAACACCAGAGAAAGGTAACGGGAAGAATGTGGGCCTGGGGTCCCACCATCCTTGCCACACAAACATCCACCGGTGCTTCATCCACCTCACACTGTTCTGAGCACACGAGGCTGGATAACCACCGTGAAGATCTCTGGAGGTGGGAGCGATGCTAACTGTCCTGTTCTTAGTGCACATGAGACTCACACTCCCACACACGGTATTTCTTCTCCTACACATTATTTGACGCTATCATGAAAAGAAAACCAGCAAGTGAAATTCAATCTGTCTGTAGAGAGTGGGAATCCTGTTCACTGTAAGTCATCCTTTCTCCTCTAATAGAGGCTAGCTGTACTTTGTTTTTAGAATGGCCTAAATTATTTTTCTAAGTACCAAGTTACATATTTGTTCATGACAACTATTTAAAAAATTTCATTGCAAATAAGTGATTTTTATCAGGCGAGTAATACGTAATGAACTTCCCCTAAAAATAACAGCTTCCTAATAGTGCTTTTTCTAAGCAGAACATGACTACAAAATAATTTAAAAAAAAAAGTAACCCCAAAAATGTCACCTTAACTGTTAAGATCCCCAACCAGCCTCTATCTAGTCTCAACATTACCACCATATAACCTCCGGATTTCTCAGTTTAATCACTTCTAGGGGAAAAAACCCAGACTACCTCTATATGACCACTAAGCAAATTTCCAGTAACAAATCGAGGCTTTGTAACCTGGCTGGGTGCCGTGGCTCATGTCTGTAATCCCAATACTTTGGGAAGCTGAGGCAGAAGGACTGCTTGGGTCTAGGAGTTCAAGACCAGCCTGGGCAATATTGTGAGACCCTGTCTCTACAAAAAAAAAAAATTTTTTTTTAAATTAGCCAGGTGTGGTGGTGCACATCTGTAGTTCCAGCTACTTGGGACTCTGCAGGTGGAGGTGTTGAGGACTGCTCGAGCCCGGGAGGTTGAGGCGGCTATGACTGTGCCATGGCACTCCAGCCTGGGCTGACCTGTCTCAAAAAAAGGAAAAACGACTGTAACCTCCTGCGCCTTCTCAGACAGTCTGGCTCCTGAAGGAAACACTTACCAGGCCTGCATGACTCTTCGATGCTCAGGGCACATGCCCGACCAAAGACGACCAGGTCCAAGAGAGAGTTTGCCCCGAGCCGGTTGGCACCATGTACCGAGGCACAGGCGGCCTCCCCACAGGCGTACAGCCCGGGCACAATCTGATCCTGGCCATTCACGTGCCTCAGGACCTGTGGAAAGGAAGATTTCAGGTGAAATGTCAAGGTGCCCATACCTCCACCAGCCCACCTCCCCCAACAGGGTGTCTGTGCTGCAGACCAGAGAAAGAGAAAGAAGTAGGCCAGGCGCGGTGGCTCACGCCTGTAATCCCAGCACTTTGGGAGGTTGAGGCGGGTGGATCACCTGAGGTCAGGGGTTTGAGACCTGTCTGGCTAACATGGTGAAACCCCGTCTCAACTAAAAATACAAAAATTAGCCAGGCATGATGGCGGGTGCCTGTAATCCCAGCTACTCGGGAGGCTGAGGCAGAAGAATCGCTTGAACCTGGGAGGCGGAGGTTGCAGTGAGCCGAGATTGCGCCATTGTGCTCCAGCCTAAGCGACAGAGCGAGACTGAATCTCCAAGAAAAAAAGGGAAGGAAAGACCATATCTAAGAGGGAGGTAAGGACCATAGCTCCTCTTCTTCAGAGGGAAGCTTCCGAACGTCCCCCCGTTTCCCTCTGCCCTGAGCACATGCTGTTACAAGCAGGTCAGAGGACCCCTAATGTCAGCGTCTGCGACTGTCCCCGTATCCCACGTTCCCGAGGCCCTCACCACCCGCAGATGACCCCCAATGCCGGCATCTGTGACTGTCCCCGTGTCCCATGTTCCCGAGGCCCTCACCACTTGCACTCCGGCTCAGACCCAGGAGCACGGCAGGTGGAGGAACATCAGCAGGTGACACTGATGTTCCAGACTCTTCTACTCCCTGTTCACCTCTTCATCTATGCAGGGAAAGTAACAGCTGCCGCCCACCTTGCCCAACAAGGAGCCTAAGTGAATGACAAGCTCTGTGTGAACCGCAAACCACTCAAAGGTAGGAATTAGAATGATCCCTCGATGTACAAGATCATTAGAAATAACATGAGATCATATAGGAAAGTAACTATAAAATGGAAAAAGCTGCAAATGATGCATCTATGACAATTTACTAAGGAGGAATAAATTAAGCCCCCTCCATCTTCCAGTAATAGAAATTTAAAGTACAATCTAGAAAACAAGACAGAACTTTCTTGAAGAAAACATCTGTCTTTTCATCTAAGATCTAAAGAGACAACTACAAGGTGGGTCCCGTTGTCCCAGCCTTCTATCCAGCTGCGGGAGGGGAGCCAGCACCATCACCTGCCCCTTGTAGTTGGTGGGAATGCCGCCCATGTTATAATGCACGGTGGGGAGGACAGGGATCGGCTCCTTCGTCACGTCCACACCGGCGAAGATCATGGCTGTCTCTGAAATGCCGGGCAGGCGCGTGGCCAGCTGCTCCGGAGGCAGGTGGTGCAGCTGCAGGTAGACGTGATCTTTCTCAGGGCCACAGCCTCTGGGAAGACAGAACAAACACCGTCACATAAGCTCCGGAGGCAGGAAAGAAGGTGCAGCTGCAGGTAGACGTGATCTTTCTAGGCCACAGCCTCTGGGAAGACAGAACAAACACCGTCACATAAGGCAGAGAACAGCCTCTGGGAAGACAGAACAAACACCATCACATAAGGCAGAGAGAACAGCCTGGGAAGACTTAACAAACACCGGCCACAAGGCAGAGAACGGCCTCTGGGAAGACAGAACAAACACCGGCCACATAAGGCAGAGAATCAGTAACGGCAGGAGATGGCCAGAATACGTCATCTTGGAAGACGGAGTTTCAACATGTTTTGATACTGAGGAAAATTTCATTTATGGTCGCCCTCTCATCAAATCTTTCCTAAGCATCTACTGTGTGCCAGGGACTATCCCAGGTGCTGGGACACAGCTGAGACTCCAGAACAAAACTCACACTCATCTCAGGGATCACAGCCTGCTGCGGCTGTCCTTGGTAAGTGCATTAGAAAGGGCTCTATGCCAAACACAGTCGTCCCTGCGTATCCATGGCAGGTTGGGTCCAGGACCCCCATGGATACTAAAATCCGTGGATGCTCAAGTCCCTAATATAAAATGGAAGAGTATTTGTATGTAACCTATGCACATCCTCCTCTATACTTTACATCATCCTCATTTCAAGTTTTACATTTAAGCTTTACAACAACTCCAGGATTACTCACAGTACCTAATATAATGTAAATGCTACGTAAATAGTTGTTAAACTGTGTTGTTTAGGGAACAATGACGGGGAAAAAAAGTCTGCATATTTGTAAGGTTGCAATTTTACTTTCAATACATAGCTGGTTGAAACCACACATGTGGAACCAACGGGTACAGACGGCCATCATATTCCAGAAAAACATTTGACTTCTCTGTTTTTGTTTGTTTGTTTTTTTCCTTGAGAGAGTCTCGCTCTGTCGCCAAGGCTAGAGTGCAGTGGTGCCATCTCGGCTCACTACAAGCTCTGCCTCCCGGGTTCATGCCATTCTCCTGCCTCAGTCTCCCTAGTAGCTGAGACTACAGGCGCCCGGCATCACGCCTGGCTAATTTTTTGTATTTTTAATAGAGACAGGGTTTCACCATGTTAGCCAAGATGATCTCCATCTCCTGATCTCATCATCCGCCCGCCTCGGCCTCCCAAAGTGCTGGGATTACAGGTGTGAGCCACCGAGCCCAGCCTGACTTCTCTGTTTTTTTAAATATAAAAATGTAAAACCTCCAAAAGCCATACCAGCAGATATTACATTAAAGAACAGGGTCAGAAATGAAAGAGCTGCAACTTGTTTTACTGAAAGCCAAATAACCCACCCCCTTTGAAAGCTACCGAAAAACACCTGTGGGCATCAAACACGACACCCAAGGCTCACGTGCTGACTTCAGGTTGCGTGCGTCTCTCTCTCCCGTACTCTGTCACATACTCACACACACTAAGAGAAACTCTGTTCCACAGATCTGAGAAAGAAACTGGCTAAAATTTTCAAAATGTAGGTCTTTAAGAAAATACCACAGACTAACAGACGCCTGTCAGCAGCTGAGAGAGGTGGCTGTGCACGTGTGCCTGCACACGAAGGTGAGGGTGAGCAGTGCTGGAACTCACAGATGCAACCCCGGCCCGTGTGCCCACTCAGACAACGCTGGTGGTAAATCACACGGACCTTCCTTCGCGGATCTCCAGAGTCATCGACCGAGACACCACATCTCTAGACGCCAGGTCCTTCGCCACAGGGGCGTATCGCTCCATAAACCTTTCGCCTTGACTGTTAATGAGAATGCCTCCCTCTCCACGACATCCTTCCGTAATGAGACAACCGGCACCATATATGCCTGCAAAAAACCACAAACATTTATAACCTAACAACTGCTAGGTCTCTATTTCAAATGCATTATTTTTTTCAAGATATTTTTTGGGGGAGAGAGGAAAAAGATATGCAGAAGGCATTATATGCAAAACTGAATAGAAAGAACAGTTAAGATACAGTAGAAAGTCTGGATAACAAAAAGCACTGATGAGGCTGACAGCTGAAGCAGAGGTTGGGGCAGAGCAGTGTCCCCAGCGAGGAGAAAGGCCAGCCCACAGACCTCTGGCCGATACTCTGATTACAGCCCAGTGTACGCTGGATGCCTCAAATTTTGTTTTAATTTTTGAACATTCTTTTGCACTATGATACTGTGGTAACTAGTTAAGAATACGAGCTTGGAGAATTCATATCTAAATTACCCAAACAGTGGCAAGGACAGTAATAATGATTATTTTACTTAATATTCACACTGCACTTGCTGGGGCAGTTCTAGCTGCTTTCCACATAACTCATTTAAGTCTTACAACAACTCCGGGTAGTACTACCCACTTTCTCAGTGACAGCAAATTACCGCTTGGTAACATCCAGTCATGCAGTTGAGGACACAGCTCAAACCCAAACCTGGGCAGTCCGGCGGTCTGTGCTCCAAACAGCGGCTCTGTGACTCCTCAATGCGATGAGAAACAGGGTATGCCTAGCTCTCTAATTTTAACAAAGGAGATCAAAAACCCGAAACTAAACGTATTTCAAAAGCTACAATTTTTATTAGTATACAAAAAGGGTGGGCCGGGCGCGGTGGCTCAAGCCTGTAATCCCAGCACTTTGGGGGGCCGAGACGGGCGGATCACGAGGTCAGGAGATCGAGACCATCCTGGCTAACCCGGTGAAACCCCGTCTCTACTAAAAAAAAATACAAAAAACTAGCCGGGCGAGGTGGCGGGCGCCTGTAGTCCCAGCTACTCGGGAGGCTGAGACAGGAGAATGGCGTGAACCCGGGAGGCGGAGCTTGCAGTGAGCAGAGATCCGGCCACTGCACTCCAGCCTGGGCGACAGAGCGAGACTCCGTCTCAAAAAAAAAACAAAAAAAAACAAAACAAACAAACAAACAAACAAACAAAAAAACAAAAAGGGCAATCTTGCTTTTAAAACGAGAATGTGATTCTTGCATCTCACCTGTCTTTTGATTTTCTAAGTTTCAATGCTCTTTTTTCTGTGGATTACTTCTCACATATTGAAGACAAAGCATGAAAAGTGGAGCTCTAAGCAAATTACAGAGGGAATTCAGGGACTCAGTGACATTTTATTGATTAAAAAAAGTAATAAAAAAATACAACAGACCAGGTGCAGTGGCTCATGGCTATAATCCCAGCACTCTGAGGAGCCGAGGCAGGAGGATCGCCTAAGCCCTGGAGTTTGAGACCAGCCTGGGCAAAACGGTGACACCCCGTCTCTACCAAAAACAAAACAACCCTCAAAAATTAGCTGGCCATGGTAACGCATGCCTGTAGTCCCAGCCGTTTGGGACGCTGAGGTGGAAGGATCCTTTGAGCCTGGGAGACAAAGGCTGCAGTGAGCCAAGACTGCTCCACTGCACTCCAGCCTGGGCAATAGAGCAAGACCCCGTCTCTAAACAAATTAAAAAAAAAAAAAAAACCTACAACAAATTCATTTCTTATTTTCATCCCTTCCAGGGATCAGAAAGCTGACACTGACAGAGAAAGAGAAGGCAGAGGTCTGGTTCTTTAGCACCACTTCAGGGGTCTCCATTGTCCATAGGTCAGAAAAGCAACCCAGAGAAGTCCAGGACGAGTCAAACAAGAGGCAGATGTGTGTGTCTCTCTCTGACTCATTCTGAAGAACCTCCCCCAAACTCAAGACTTCAACTGTCATTTCTGTGTTAATGTCTCCAAATTGCACATTTGTAAGCTCAACCGTCAGACGTCCCCGAGATGAGCGCATCTTCCCCAGAACAAGCTCCCTCAGTGGTCATGTGGGCTGAGCCCCAACGTCCGAACGTCACATGAGGTTCTGTCACGGCTGTGCCCTAACTTTACACCCCATTATCGCGGAAGCTCCATGCTCTCCTACAAAGCCGAAATCTGCCTGTGCTGCTTCTGGGTTCCACGGTATTCTCCCGGCTCTCAGAATGCTCCCTCAGTAAACCCTGATGGAGACCCTGCCACGTGCTGGGCGTGGGCCACCCCAGCGAATGAGAAGACCGGCCTGCTCGAGGAGCTGACGACCTCGATGCGAAGAGGGACACTGAACAATCCCTGCCTAACTTTTTTTTTTTTTTTTTTTTTTGAGACAGAGTCTACTCTGTTGCCCAGGCTGGAGTGCAGGGGTGCGATCTCGGCTCACTGCAACCTCTGCCTCCCAGATTCAAGTACTCCCCTTGCCTTGGCCTCCCAAGTAGCTGAGATTACAGGTACATGCCACCACGCCATGCTGATTTTTGTATTTTCAGTAGAGATGAGGTTTCACCATGTTGGCTGGGCTGGTCTTGAACTCCTGACCTCAGGTGATCTGCCTGCCTTGGCCTCCCAAAGTGCTGGGATTACAGGCGTGAGCCACCGCGCCTGGCCTCAATCCCTGCTTTACTGCTGGCACAAGTATCACCAAGGCAGGGTTTAGGGCTCTTCAGAAATGCATAAAACAGCCCAAACTGCCTTGGGGAAGGGAGAATGTGGAAAAAATCTGTCAGAAGCGACATTGAAGGTGGACCTGAAAGGCTGAAAGCTGATCTTCAAAACCACATTACCACATAAACCTTGAGCGATGTTAATTACCTACAGCGCACCACAGTGTGACCCAATTACATGAGCTGGCTCAGGCAGTGCGTCTGCCACTGGGTTGAATAGAACAAGCACTCTACAGATCTGTAGAGGTCTGCCACCAGTGATCATGTGTCTTGGTGCTGGTGTGGGCGATGAGTGCACCGTAACCTCTGGAAACTCATCAGGCGTGGTGTTGCAGCAAACCGTCGGATTATCTTGGTGAGATCACAGATGGTTGCAGCATTCCAGACATCTTCTCAATTGCTGTCTGCCTTTGGCCTCTGCCTCTTACCCACATCGCAAGAGGCCATACCAGTGGAGCTGCTACCCTATGCAGGTGGATAAGCCTGCAGGATCAGAAACGGACTTCCATTTTGTATTTTATTTGTTATTTGAGATAGGAATTCTCATCTCATGCCCAGGCAGATACAGTGTGAATCTCGGCTCACACAGCAACTTCAGCTCCCAGGTTCAAGTGACTTTCGCCTCAGCCTCAGGTACTTCTGAGGATTACAGTTATGCCACCATATAGTTAATTTTTGTATTTTGTTGAGTTGGGTTCATGTGTTGTGAGGCTGAGTCTTGACTCCTGGGCCTCAGTGCAGTCCTCCTTGACCTCCCAGTGCTGATTACAGGCATGACCTGCGTCTCAGCCTCATTGTGCTTTAGCTTTGTACTGTTCAAGTTTCTAATAGCTTTGCACCATAATAATTTTAAAATTTTATGGTTACTTTTCCCAAGTTGCAGGTATGATTATTGATGATTAAATAAAAAACAAAAGTACTATATTTAAAATTATTCAATGTAGTAATTTGATATATTTTGTGACCATTGTTGCAATCAAGTTAATATATACCTCTCCACAGTCCTCAATTTTAGAATATAAATAACTTAAGGTCTCTCTGTTATAAATTTCTGATTATAATATTAACTCTAGCTACCATGTCAATATAATATTAACTATAGCTCCCATGCTGTACAATGTTAACTTCATGCAAATTAACTGTGTCACACTATAATACCATGCTGTATAATATTATCTGTACATGCCATATATTGATAACTCTATTACATGTATATTATTACTCTATAGCCACCAGTATATATAATATTACCACCCAATACCATTGCTGTATAATATTCACTGTAATACTTCGTGCTGTATATGATCACTATAGCCACCGTGCTGTATAATATTCACTATAGCCACCGTGCTGTATAATGTTAACTGCTTGTGCTGTATGTGTTATATGTACATGCTGTATAATATTCCCTTTATAGCCACACCATATAATGTTAACTCTTAACTCCACCAGTGTATATGGCATGTTACTGTATTACAGCATATCTGTGTTAACTGTATTACATTAACAATATAATATTCACTATATGCATGCTGCCATAATGTTCCTCTGTCCACATGCTGTGTAATGTTCACTATAGCCACCCTGTGTGTGACTCTACTGTAGCCGGTGCTGTATAATGACTAACTGTAGCCACACATTATATATATCATTCATATATTTTTGTGTATATATTAATAACTGTAGCCACACGTGCTGTAAATAATATTCACTGTATGCATTTTGTATAATGTTAACTCTAGCCACCGTGCTGTATAATATTCACTATAGCTATGCTGTAGTGTTCTCCTTTTCCCCATTGCTGTATGTGTTCCCTTTACTGTTGCTGAGAGGCGTGGTGAGCATGCACCTGTAATCCCAGCCTTTGGGAGGCAGAATGGGATCAAGGTCAGGAGATCAAGACCATCCTGACTGCGGTAAACCCCGTCTCTACTAAAAATACAAAAATTAGCGGCAGTGTGGCGTCTGTAATTATTCCACAGGAGCTGAGGCTACAGAGGTAAGCGTGAACCTTCCAGGCAGCTTTGCAGTGTGGTGAGTTAACTGCACACTCCATCAAGCGTGGGCGAGACTCCGTCTCAAAAAAAAACCATTCTATCACATTAGTGCTGTATGTTAACTGTAGCTACATGCTGTATAATATTCACTATAACCACTGTGCTATATAATATTCACTATAGCCACACATGCATATCTAATGTTCCTATAGCCACATTGCTGTATAATGTTAACTCTAGCCACCGTGCTGTATAATGTCCTCTAGCCACTGTGCTGTATAGTATTCACTATAGCCACAGTGCTGTATAATGTTCACTATAGCCACCGTGCTGTATAATGTTAACTCTGACACCGTGCTGTATGTTAACTGTTTAATACATGCATATATAGCCCACTATAGCATTTCATATAATATTGCTCTGCTTGCATTACTGTCTCTAATGTTATCTATTGCAATAACATGCAATATTCACTGTGCCACAGTGCCACACATAATACTCATTATAGCCACCGTGCTGTATAACCTCCACTATGTACATGCTGTATAATGTATGTAGCCACCGTACTGTATAATACTATAATACATGTTGTATATTAGACCTTCTGAACCTCACCTGTGCGAGAAGTCATGCCTTTCATCAGCATCGCTGCAGTCTGCATTCTGGCCTAGCCAGCCCACTGTCTGCCTACTCTGTTTCTATATAGGGTTTGACTTTTGGTTCCACAGAAGTGTATACGGTATCTGTCCATTCTACACAGCATTTCATGTATGGCCGGCTTTGGGTTCATCCCTCTTTCACAAATAGCTTGAGATTCCCTTAGTTCTTAGTAGATATATTCAGCTGCGTATATACATATTTCTTAACATCAGCACATAGCCCCAGTTTTCTCTACATCTTGGGAACTGTGAACACTTGTGCAATGAACATGGGGTCAGCGTCTCTTTGAGCTTCTGATTTCAGCACACTGCTGAATATACACCCAGAAATGGGTTGCTGTGGTATGGCGTCTCATGAAGAATTGAGACCTCAGAGTTTTCCACAATGAGTTCATGCAATTACATTCCCAGCAGCCTGGGTTCCTTTTCTCACATCCTCACTAACACTTGCTCTCTTTTGTCCTCTTGACAATAATTCTGAGTGGGAGGTAAATTCAGTGTCATTGAGTTTTAATTTGCATTCTCTGGTGTAGTGATGTTGTTTTTCACTTATCAATTGGCCATTTATCTTCTCTGGAAAATGTCATTAAGTCTTTGCCCATTTTTAGTAGAGTTCATTTTTTAGTAGGAGTTTAGTAGGTTGTTGTTTTCAGTAGGGTTGTTTTTGCTATTTTAGGTAGAAAGATAATATTAGATATATGGTTTGGAAAATATTTTTTCCTAACCTGTAGTTCTATGATTTTTCCTTCACCTGCCATTTCTTTTGCTGAAAATGGTTAAGTAACTGACGTGTAATTAAATTCACTTATTTTAGTTATGTGGAGAAGAAGGACTTGCCATCCCGGGAATCAAATGTTACTTGGTGCCCACAAGCAAGAGGTTTGCCAGAAACCCCATGGGACTCTTGGGCGCAGTTCATCGTACGTCAGGAGGTAAGTAATGACCCTGATGGCAAGCCACCCCAGTCTCTTTAAGGACCATGCTTTCTCACACTTCAGAGCAGGTGCTCCACCGTCCTTACCCTTCACGGAGGAGCAACCACGGCTGGAAACATACCCTCACAAGGTTATATCAAGACATATTATCAGGCGTTATTCCTACAATGCCTCCACTTTTTCATTAAAATAAAAGAAACTCTATCTATTCAAGTCCTTTGCCCATTTTTAGTAGGGTTGTTTTTTAGTAGGGTTTAGTAGGTTGTTTTTCAGTAGGGTTGTTTTTTTGCTATTTTAGATAGAAAGATAATATTAGATATATGGTTTGGAAAATATTTTTTCCCAACCTGTAGTTTTGCTGATTTTTTCCTTCACTATACTGACAGCTTTTACTTTGAAAATGGTTAAAGTAACTGACAGTGTATAAAATTAAAGTTACTTATTTTCGTTATGTGGAGAAGAAGGACTTACCCATCCCAGGAATCAGTATTAACACAGTACCCACTAAAACAAGAGGGATTTTGCCAGAAACCCCCATGGGACTCTTCGGGCCGCAGTTTCCTCATCTAAAATCGGGAGAGGTAAGCTGTGAACCTGATGGCAGCCACCCCCGTCTACTGAGGACCATGCTTTCTCACCGCCTGAGGCAGGTGCTCCCGTCCTTACCCTTCACAGGTGAGCAACCACGGCTGGGAGAGGCCATCACCCTCACAAGGTTATATCAAGGCCTGTGTCTGAACCGTTATTCTACAATGCCTCCATTTTCATTAAAATAAAGAAACTCTAAATGACAGTTATTCATTTCTGTAAATGAAATAAAGTAGAAATTAGAGTCCTACCCTGTGGCAACAACAGTGTTCTTTGCTCTTATGCGATGGATGGACCCATCCTCTATGCACAGTGCGATGACACCACGGCACTCCCCATCCTCCATCAGGAGATCCAAGGCAAAATACTCCACAAAATAGCTGGTGTCATATCGCAGAGACTAAAAGAAAGGAAAACAAAGGGCAGGAAGTGTTAAGCCAACCTTTAAGGTTTTAAGGTGGTATTTGCTCATGTGAATAGGTGAAAGAACCTGATCCAAATGGACCAGGTAAATCCAAGGAGATCAGCAACAGAGTCAAGGACGCTGTCAGAGCCCGAGAGGCGTTCCACACGGAGCAGCACAGACAAGGCAGGTGCGCTAGAGAACGCAGCAGCAACAGCTCCTACTTTGGTGACACGTTTCCTATTTCTACACAACCCGAAGAGGCACTCCACACTGTCCGGTGGCCACAGGCAGCTCCGCTCAGAGTTTGGTGCCAGAGTGAGGTCCACAGACCATGGGGTCACAGCCCACGTGGGAGCTGCTGGCAACACACAACCACTAAATTAATTAAAATAAATCAAACGTTCAGCTCTTCAGCTACACCTGCCACATTAGCAACAGCCACAGTGGCTGGCAGCTCCCAACACGGATGGTTGCAGACAAGCAGATTCCAGCACTGCAGAAAGGTAGGCACTGGACAGCGCTGCCCGCCTGGACCTGCTGTTCCCTCAGCCAGTGCGAGTTGCCCTTGTAAGCCTGGGCCAGCTCCCCACATGACAGCTCCTGCTCCAGACGGAGCTGCTTTCTCCTCCCACCACACACTCGTCCATGCACTCAGCCACAGAGAAGGCACTGGTGTTCTAACAACTTGCAAATTAATGGTCTGTCCCCATTCATCAGAAAACAACAAAGTTCAGAATACTGAATGCTCTGAATCAATACTGTTCAGAATACTGAATGCTCTGAATCAATACTGTTCAGAATATTATTTGGTCATGCCAAAGTTGACCTTGATTACCCAGTAACTATTGTCACCTCAAGTCTTTGTCCAGTGATAACAATTAATATTAAAACAATCCATGGCTGGGGGTGGTGGCTCATGCCTCTAATCCCCGCACTTTGGGAGGCTGAGGCGGGTGGACTGCCTGAGCTCAGGAGTTCGGGACCAGCCTGGGCAACATGGGAAACCCTGTCTCTACTAAAATACAAAAAATTAGCCAGGCATGGTGGCATGCACTTATAGTCCCAGCTACTCAGGAGGCTGAGGCAGGAGAATCACTTGAACCCGGGAGGGGGAGGTTGCAGTGAGCAGAGATTGCGCCACTGCACTCTAGCCTGGGTGACAGAGTGAGACTCCGTCTCAAAAACAAAGCAAAACAAAACAAACAAACAAAACCAACCCATTCAGGAACTCAGAGGTGGTAAAAGAGCCTTAAAATGCTTTTTTTCTTTTTCTTTTTTTTTGAGATGTAGTCTCACTCTGTCGTCCAGGCTGGAGTGCAGTGGTGTGATCTCAGCTCACTGCAAGCTCCGACTCCCAGGTTCACGCCATTCTCCTGCCTCAGCCATTCTCCTGCCTAAGCCTCCCAAGTAGCTGGGACTATAGGCGCCCACCACCATGCCCGGCTAATTTTTTTGTATTTTTAGTACAGACGGGGTTTCAATGTTAGGCAAGATGGTCTCAAACTCCTGACCTTGTGATCCGCCTGCCTCGGCCTGCCAAAGTGCTGGGATTACGGCGTGAGCCACCGTGCCCAGCCTATTCTTTTTCTTTTTTTGAGACAGGGTCTCCTGTTGCCCAGGCTGGAGTGCAGTGGTATGAACATGGCTCATTGTAGCCTCAACCTCCTGGTCTCAAGTAATCCTCCCGCCTCAGCCTCCTAACTGGGATTACAAGCATGTACCACCATGCCCAGCTAATTTTTAAACTTTCTGTAGAGACAGGGTCTCGCTATGTTGTCCAGGCTGGTCTCAAACTTCTGGTCTCAAGTGATCCTCCTCCTTGGCCTCCTCTGTGCCTGGCCTGCTTGCTTGGTTCTGACATGTTGAGTGTCACATACCCCAAGTTAAAAATCTGGTATATAAGATTATCAATTCAACTTTCCAAAATAGATACAAGAAATAACATATTGCCTTAGGGACAGCTTCTCACAGCACATGCCTGGTCCTTTCACATCAACAGTCGCTGCATGTGTCCTACACCGTTGTTCTCTGTTGCTTTTTACATAATCTCTGGCGGACTCACTGGGCACGCTAACCCATTCCCCGCTGTCACCATAAGCCCCAGCACTACATGTCCTGTCTCAGGTGGACCAGGGGCGGCCTTACCCTTCCATATAAGGTGTGCAATAGTGAGTGGCCGGTCCGATCAGCCACACAGCAGCACCGATGGGCCTGCCCGCCCTTTCCAAACTTGAGGCTCTGTCCACCAAATGCACGCTGATAAATCTTCCCATCTTCAGTTCTGCTAAATGGCATGCCATAATTTTCCAGCTGTGAAAGATAAAAACAAACAAAAACCTTATTACCTTAAAGGAGTCAAGATATTCATAGCTCATCTACACTGAACAACTTTAACACAAATCTGCAAACCCAAAGTAACCTATTTTATGAAAATGTCAACACTTCATCAAAGAGAGGTCTTCTTGTTACGTGTAATGCACAGTTCGTGATGGAAAAAGACTCCTCTTGTGAGCTTTGCTCATCACCATTCTTTCGGCCGGCCACATCCGCCTCAATTGCTTACATTCTTTCCAGGACTCTTTTTGGCTAGAAACAGACCACGAGGGCGCCCAGAGCCCCCTGCCCATCACCTCGACCACGGCGGCGGGAGCCTGCTCTGTCATGTAGTGGATGGCATCCTGGTCCCCCAGCCAGTCGGAGCCCTTCACGGTGTCGTAGAAATGCCACCTCCAGTTGTCCTCCTCCATGTTCCCCAGAGCAGCGTTGATTCCTCCCTGGAAACACCAACCACTCCTTACAAGCCACAAACAGGAGCCCCAGCTTTGTCTTCCAGGCCCAAATCCACCCACTGGGGGATTCAGAGAAAGCCAACTCCTCACGCGGTGACTCCCAGTGAGGGCTGACCTCAGCAGAGGAGCAGCGAGGCCCGACAGATTCCGGGTCACGACCCTCCCCCGACTCGCCCGGTGATTCAATCCCTTAGCCTCAGTCTCCTCAGCTGTGTAGTGGAGACAGAGGGAACTCCAGGAAGGGCTGACTGGAGCAGTGAGTGAAAGGCTACCTGTAATATGCTTATTACCTAACATATCTGGCACAGAAAAGGTACTCAACAAATCCTTCCAGATAATGTTATTAACAAATCTTTCCAATGGCATTTACGGGCGTGATTTAAAGACCAGAAGTGCTTCCTGCCAAGTAATAAGCTCCACACTCAGAGTCGCACTCCCCTGTACCCCTGCTTCCTTTGGCTGTGTGTGCCCACCACCGTCTTACTCCTCAGAGAGTCCCAGAAGACAGCAGTACGGGGACAAATAAAACCCCTGCCCTTTCCTTCCCCACCCTAAATTCTGATTCTTCCCCTTTAGATGATCTCCTTTTCTTAAGGTGTTGGGGCAGTGGGGGTGGGTGGGGAGGGAAGTAGGCGAGATGGTCAAAGAAAACCCGAGTGTGACTGGAGTCCCAGCTAGGAGTGACAACAAGGCTCCAGCCCTTCCAAGTCTCCAGGGAAGAGGCTCCAGGGAAAGACCGCTGAGAGGGTGAGCTGAGTGAGCAAGGCACAGCAAGAGGTCATGTGGCTGGAGCATGGGGAGGAGGCAGGAGGCTGCCCAGGTAGAAAGCGCAAGGCTGGGCGGGACCTGCGCAGAGTGGAGCACGGTGGGGCACCTTTCTCTTACCTGCGCTGCAACAGTGTGTGACCTGGTAGGAAACAGCTTTGTAACACATGCTGTATTAAACCCTGCCTCAGAAAGGCCAAATGCAGCTCGCAAGCCTGCCCCTCCAGCGCCTACCACCACTGCATCAAATTCATGATCCACTACTGGATACTGAGCAGAAATCTGGAAGAGAAAAATGCACCTGTCAATCACGTGCTCCACTATGCCAAACACAAAGACTCTTGTTACAGTGAAGGAGCTTGACAAAGACAAAAGGACCAACTGCTAGGCACACAGGGCCTCCATCCTGTCCTGGGGCTGAGCCCTGAACAGTGCAGGGAGAAGTGGGCACATTCGCACGTGGAGAAGGGACTGACAATCAGATTCTATGAATGGTAGAGGGTCTGTCCCATGGGATCAGACTGAGGACCACAACTCTACTTCAGGGCCATGCCTATGCTTATGCCTGAGAAGGTGCTAAGGAGTATTCAGTCGCTATTGTGAGCTTACGAGAAAAGAACTTCTCAGCAAGTTTCAGTTTTCCAACAGAGAGAGAACAGGCACACTAAATACCAAGGAACCCACACCTGAGTGGCCCCACAGTCCTAATTTCAGTAGGAATTTTATCATCTATCACAGCAGATACTGTTCATTTTATTTTAATTTATTGTTTTACTTGATCTAAATTTAGATCTAGTTTATAGATACATTAAGAGATATAAGTAAAAATGCTAACATCCATGTTTGTGTTTGTACTTGCAATTGATTATTGTAACACTGAAAATAATTTCAGCATGCGTTGGATACCTATGAGGAATTTTTCTCTTATGTCTATGACTCATATGAAAAGAAACTGGTACAGATCCTTACCCCCTAAGCCAAAAAATCATTTATAATGGAACAAAAAGCATGAACTTACGGAATCTGAAACTTTAGCAGATGCCCTCTTGTTCCCATCAACAGTGAAGTGAAAACCTCGGGTTCCTGTTTGCAACACTGCTGGCCACTGGTGACACAGAAGACACAGATGCAGAGGGTTAGTGTCCTGAAGGAACAGATGCTATGGGGGACAGTAATTTAAACTTCCCCTTGCAAACTGTTCCCCTTCTTATGTACCCAGGTGCTCCTGTGCATCCAGGGAGCTCGGCTGGGACTCTCTACTTAACCCTGAAGGGCAGCCCAAGGGGTGAGGAAGGACGGAGCCCCCGGTCCTCCTTTCCGCCCTGACTCGGCACTCCAGAAAACCAGGATGAAGCCTGTTTCCAAACAGGATACTCACTGACTCAGATACCACATGAAAAAGGCACACTTCCTCTGTAAAGTCTTAATTTATGCTACTTAGTGGAGAAGGGGAAGACATCTATATCGTATTACTGTATGTGGTATTTTGCAAATAATGAAGCATTTTAACTGGCTCCATCATAGCCCTTTCCACATTACAGTTCCAGTCGTCCATGAGGGCTTGCGGTCAGTCCAAAAGGCACTGGACACTGAATCAGGAGATCTGTATTCTGGAGCAGTAAAAGCTGACAGCCCAGAGGGACAAGGTGTCATCTCTTCATCATACAGGAGGATGTTGGATGCACACTCTCCCCTGCCTGGCTGCTCCTGGCTTTTTCCTGGCCAATGTCTACAATTTGACACATCTTGCTGCCTAAATTTTCCATCTTAGAAACCTGGTTTTAGTGTTTAGTTTTTAGCGGCTGTGTGTGTGAGAGGTGACACTGTCCATATGCTAAGGTTGGCCAGTCATTTAGAGGATACATTTTCCATTCTGCTGGGTGCATTTTAGAAGACCACTGAATAGTCTCAGAAATATCATAAAGAATAGTTTTAGGGGCTGGGCACGGTGGCTCCTGCCTGTAATCCCAGCATTTTGGGAGGCCAAGGTGGGTGGAACACTTGAAGTCAGGAGTTCAAGACCAGTCTGGCCAACATGGCGAAACCCTGTCCCTACTAAAAATTAGCCGGGCATGGTGGTGGGCACCTGTAATCCCAGCTACTTGGGAGGCTGAGGCAGGAGAATCGCTTGAACTCAGGAGGCAGAGGTTGCAGTGAGCCTAGACTCTGCCACTGCACTCCAGCCTGGGCGACAGAGCGAGACAACGTCTCCAAAAAAAAAAAAGAGAGAGAAAAGAAAAAAAAAAAAAAAGCTTCAGGAAATAATACACTCAGCAATCAGAAGAGGGGATGTGAGGGATGTCTTCAAGTATTTAGAAATACTTGCAATTCAGAAATTACTTGTTATGTGGGATAAAAAATTATTCTCCATTTCTCCAATTTCTAGTCTGTTTTTATCGACATAAGCTAATTCAATTTTTCTTTTTTCAGAAAATGGATGAGAAAGAACAAATATTCTTCCACCTTAGTATAATTTTTGACAAAGTAAAATCATATTTTAAGAAAGAAGTCTTTGAAATAATTTTAATACAAACTTTCTTGAAACTTTTGTAAACTGCCCTATTAACACAGGTAACAGCACCAATAACAACTACACCAACTGTAATTAGAAACAGTGAGATCACTAAAGTTTATTTGTTCTTTCTAGGATGCTGACGTGGAATGCCCACTGCCCGCCCCGGCCACACACACACAAAGCCAGCTTAGAAGGGGCAGCTCCCATAACACAACCGTGAACAAATTATCACACCATCCCCTTGGGGACAAGGACACTCACCCTCTGCGTCTAAATCTAATCTGGGGCAGAGTTTTGAATTTGAAAGCCCAACTTTAAGACAATTTCAGTCTTTAGATAAAACTGAAAACTAGTTTTGACACAAGACTAGTCTTGTGTGCCAATTATTAATTTTTTTAGGAGAAACTATCAAACATTTCCTCTAAGAAAAAAATAGGGAACATATAAAAGGAATATTAGACCTTGCTTAACAATATGGAATTTCAGACGACTGAATTAGGAGGTGGAGGGGGAAAAGTAAGAAGTGCAGAGACATTAATCCCGAAATCTACCAAAGTGAGGGGTCCTCATCTAATCAAATGCAACTATAAATCATGAGCAAGAAACTAAACTGCACGTACAACCCATACAATCACAAAAGCAGCCAGCGAAGAACCTAAACACGCATGACCGTATCAGGAAGAAGCGGAAGTAGGGTAGTTTAAGTGAACTAAATCCCCTCTCCAGGCAAGAAGTCTAAAACAGATAAAAATGCACCTGCACATCCGCTAAAGAAACAGCGGTCTTACAAATACCAGGAGTCGGTATCAGAAACAGGAATTGCTTTCACGGAAAATGAACTGCGGGCGGTGGTATACTCACGGATTCTTTTACAACTACGTGTAATTATTCTCACTAGAACTTTAGTGTTTATTATTTTAAAAACGAATACTTAAAATACAGTTAGGCCAGGTACAGTGGCTCACACCTGTAATCCCAGCCCTTTGGGAGGTTGAGGCAGGCAGATCACGAGGTCAGGAGATCCTGAGACCATCCTGGCTAACACAGTGAAATCCCATCTCTAATAAAAATACAAAAAAAATTAGCTGGGCATGATGGCAGTAGTTCCAGCTACCGGGGAGGCTGAAGCAGGAGAATGGCGTGAACCCGGGAGGCAGAGCTTGCAGTGAGCCAAGATAGCGCCACTGCACTCCAGGCTGGGCCACAGAGAATCCCTCTCGGGGAAAAAAAAAAAAAATACAGTTCACACATGGCTACTGTGCACAGGCTGTGAGCCCTGGTTCACAAGAGCACCACCAAAGGTTTCAAACATTACCCACAGAATCCCCACTAACCCCACGGAAAGACAGAACCTCAGAGATGATTCAAGTAGGTCAGCTGGCTCTGGATCCTGGACTTGGCCCCTATCTAAAGACCCTTGGGAAAAATCTCTGAGACTCCCAACTAATATTAATATCCAGGTTTCATATCAAAACCAAGTCACAATTTTTCAAATAAATCAGCAAAAACATCATGAAGAATGCAGAATGGAATGCCACTGTTGTTACAATTATCCCAAGAAGCAAAGCAAATATTTACTACTATAATGGCCTAAATAATGTATTTCTAGAACACCATTAAACATATGCAGAACAAACCATTCAAAGAAATGAAATCAATTTGTCTTAGATCAATATATTTGATGTTCAAGCTCACGGATTTGAAAAACTTCACCTGAAGTAAGCAATTAACCCAGTAACTATTTAAGTTTCTTGGTTTTACTTTTCCTCTGATTAAACTGCTTTCGAACAGTTTGCAAGCTGTGTCAGTGCACTGAGACACAAAAAGAAACCAAAAGCAAAATAAGTCTGAAAAGTTCGTCACTTGAAATCAGCTGTAAATATAGAATGATCAAAAACACCACAGAACTGGCCAAAATGAGATTAAAAAATTCTCTCTGGACTTTACTGAAATTATCCTCAGCATCTATTTTCCAAACACATTTCTCAGTTGGCTATCATGAATTTTTTTTCTGCTAATTTGATTATGCTGTTCCTTTGTAAACTCCAATTCTTCAAGAATAAAAGCCTATCTGAAATGCCGATAAATATACTGCTTGCAGGCAGAATTTCTGTAGGAAACGCTAACTTCATAGATAAAAAGACTTTTACAAAACCCAAGACTAAATTTTGGTTCAATTTTGCTATCTTGCCATCTTGTCTGAGGTGCCTCCGCCGCTGGCGGGGTCTGAGGCTGCAGAAGGAACACCGGGCACCATCTGGGTTAAGGACAAAGGCACCAGCCCTAGCTTTTCTCCAATCACAAGCTAACATTTCCCCTAAAAAGCCCCACTGACCATGGGCTTTACTTCCTGCCTGTGGACGCCCTCCAAGCAGCTCTTAAAAGCCCAAGAAGCGGCAGGGATCTCTGCTCAGTCAGCACCAGCCACAGCCACACACTAGAACGTTTACCTGCTTTCTGATGCGACAGGATGGCTGTATGACTAATCTTCACATTTAATTCAACGAGGTTTTTAATAACTATTTCAAAAAGGAGAAAACTGCACATTTATAGGCATAATTCAAATCAATATTGCTGAATGCCTTGGTTCCTATTGGCATTTTTACTCTGCAATTTAAAATTACTTCGTAATTAAGGAGGTGGGTGGGTAAGTTCATTCAAAAGAACCAAGCAACGAAACCTATCCAGTTCAGCTTGATGAACTAAAACCCTAGAAAGCCGATTCTGAAGATGCAATCGTGGAGGGCACATTCAGACAAACTCAGAGAGTGAGGGCTCAGGGAAGTACAACCCTGACCGTCATCCTGGACTAAGCCGAGCCCGGCCCGCGAGGCACTCAGCGCACAGGCAAGCACCGGTCCCGCGTCCTCGCCCGGTCAGTGCGCTGAGCTCTCCCTCTGATTTTTAAAAACGGGCACAGCTGCTTTTAAACACTGGCACATTTTCAGTGGCACAAGGGCCACCAAACACGACCCAAACTTGACACCCTTAACTTACAAGGTCGCGAAGTGGACACGCACAGATTTGCGCTTTTCTGGAAAGCGGAACTGCAAGCCTAAGCTCGGGCGCGCAGCGCTTCCCACCGGACGCCCACCCGGCCGAGCCCGGCCACTCCTCGCACCCACCCGGGCGGTTTCACCCGCCCCGCCCGCCCCACCCACGGGCTGCGGGCGGCCCCTCGGGACAACCCGCACAGAGGGCGGCAGAGGCCCAGCCCAGCCAGGACGGCCACGGGCCGCTATCCGCCCGGGTGACCTTGGGCAGAGACGACTCCTCCCCGAGTCCACCCGCCAGGCACTGAGGCGAGGGGCCACCTCAGCCCGCGGGGTCCCCGGACCCAGGCCCGGACCAAGGCGGCAGAGGCGACGACCAGCAAGCCCGCGGGGTCGTGACCTTCACCGGGACGCGGACTACCTGCTAAGGACCAAGCTCCCCGGTCCCCCGAGTCCGCCCCGCGGCTCCCCCTCGCACCGGCCCAGGGCTCTCCCAGCCCCTTCCCGATCCCGGGACAGGGGCGCGGGGGCGCGGGGACCCGGCGCCCGCTCCGCTCGCACCCGCTGGGGACCGTCCCGCTCCTACCGCCGCCTCGGCCCCCGCCTGTCCCGCCCCGGTCCGCGGTACCGACTGACCGCCTTGGCCAGCGCCAGGCGCCGAGTGCTCAGCAGCCGCGACAGCCTCCGGACCCCCGACATAACTGTTGACGCCGCCACGCAGTCCCGCCAGTCCCTGCGCAGACTGCGCCTGCGCACCACGCCAGGGTCGCGCTAGGGGGATATCGCGCCTGCGCACCACGCCGGGGTCGAGCGGGGCGGTAGTGGGGAACATCGCGCCTGCGCACCACGCCACGCCCGGGCGGGGGGCTGAGTGGGGGCGCCGCGCCTGCGCAAAGCGGACCCGCGGACGGAGGCGTTGAGGGGGACGCGGAGGTCCTGGGCTCCCCGAGCGAGGTAGAGCGGGCCCTATTTCGGGGAGGTGTTGGGCAGTAACATTTTTAAAGCGCCATGGGTGGTTCTGCGGGATCGCCCAGACAGAGGGGGCCTGAACGTCCAGACCACAGGGAATGGGGTCGGAGGGGCTGCGCTCGTCCGCGGAGGTGGGCGGGAGCGACCCGGGGCCTCCGGCCTCTACTGAGCGGGAGTGACCCTCGGTCTCCGGCCTCCGAGGGGCGGGAGCGATCCTCAGCCATGTCCCTAGCTTCTGGCTTCCGGCTAATTTTTAATTTTTTTGTAGTGGCGGGATCTTGCTGTGTTGCCCGGGCTGGTCTCGAACTCTTGGCCTCAAGCGATCCTCCCTCCTCGGCCTCCCCAAGTGCGGGGATTAGGGGCGGAGCCACCGCGCAGGGCCGTGGTCAGCTTTTAAAGGTGCGTAGATCCCTTTGGCTTATACGCCTTTCTGCTAGCTTACCCTGATTTTGCTTCAGGTTCAGAGAGCATTTTAATATTTCTAGTATGTCTTTTTGTAAGATATCTGAAATCTTTTTGTGGAATGAAGTGGCATGAAAAATAAACCAATAATCATTAGTAATTTTGTTTCCTGTCTTTTCACTTTAAATTATTAAAATCTTTCTCTTGTGCAAAATGTTTAACAATGTTGAGTTATTTTAGCAAATTTGCAATGGTTCAGTCCCATTTTATTGATATTTGGGTTGTTTCCCATTTTTGCTCTTAATAAATAACACCGTACAGAACATAGTTGTGACCATAACTTCATCTTTAGGATTATTTTCTTGGATGTGTGCCCCAGACGTGGCCTTTATTGGCTTGCAGGGAATGGACATAGTACCTCCTAGACTTTTTTTTAGTTATGCAGTTTTGGTGCTGGGTTAGTTATCTATCTAATTTTGTTTTGTTTTGTCTGAGATGGAGTTTCGCTCTTGTTGCCCAGGCTGGAGTGCAATTGTGCGATCTCAGCTCACTGCAACCTCCGCCTACAGGTTTCAAGAGATTTTCCCGCGGACAGCGAAGATCACGCCACTGCCCTCCAGCCTGACAGAGCAAGACTCCATCTTAAAAAAAAAAAGAGAGAGAGAGATTCTCCCGCCTCAGCCTCCCAAGTAGCTGGGACTACAGGCCACCGCCACCACACCCAGCTAATTTTTGTATTTTTAGTAGAGATGGGGTTTCACCATATTGGCCAGGCTGGTTTCAAACTCCTGACCTCAGGTGATCCACCTGCCTCAGCCTCCCAAAGTGCTGCGATTACAGGCGTGAGCCACCGCGCCTGGCCTTAATTTTTTAATTCTATAATTACCCATTAGTATTAAGCTCCAAGACATATTTTTGTCATATCTTTATTGCTTATCATAATTTTCTATCTTTAGATGTTAAATATTTGTTGAAAATCCCATGAAAAGTTTTCAGAAATTGGATTGGATTTCTTGTTTGTTATACATCCCTTGACTATTTTGTAATCGTGTGTATTTGTGGAGGTCACATGTAAACAAATTTAAAGTGACTCTACTTTGTGAAAATGTGCAACCTCGTGTAGGTACTCAGTAAATTAGTAAATTCTTATTAACGTTAGCCCCCCTAGCCTTGCTATGGGGTGCATGCTGGGCCGAGCAGAGGCTCTGTCATCTCTGCATAGTCACCACCACACCAGGAGGCCTGAGGGCTTCTAGCACTGTTTGCACCTTCCCACCACATCACCCCTCTGCCTTCCTCCACAGTCTTCTTCACAGTCAGAACCTTTCACTTCCTTACTCTGCCTGTCAGAATGCCTCACTCTTCCCCAAACCCTAGCTCATAGAGGAAGTGTCTGATGTGCCAGGCCCACCACTGAATGTGATTCTGTATCTTTGATACAACTGTATGAGGTTCTCCAGAGAAACCCGCCAATGGGAGAGATGTAAGAAATTGTTTAAGAGTTCAAATGCTAATCTCATCCAAACTCCCTTAGAGACACACCCAGAAATAATGGCAACCATGTATCTGAGCACCTCCTGGTACGTCAAAGTTGACATACAAAATTAACTTCATCGCAGCAGCCATACATTAAACATATTTGTGCCCCTTCAGAACTCACCCTGATTCTACCTGCACTTCAGATGCTTAAGACAGCTGTCTGTTTTCTCCACTTTCCCCAACCAGATTGTGTGATCCCTTTCATCTAAGTTCTTGGTTTTGTTTGTTTTTTGAGACGGAGTCTCGTTCTGTCGCAGGCTGGAGTGCAGTGGTGTGACCTTGGCTCCGCCTGCTTCCTCCCGGGTTCAAGTGATTCTCCTGCCTCAGCCTCCCGGTAGCTGGGACTACAGGTGCCCGCCACCACGCCTGACCCTGGTCTTGTTTTTTCCTTCTTTGAATCCCGTAGGAGCCTCAGTGCTATTACAGCACATAGTTAAAACTGAAAGATTTCTCAAATAAAAGTAGTTAGCGTTTATTCTTTCATGAGTATATCTTCTGTGAATAACCTCAATGATCCCCCAAGCTGGAATATCGGCCTAATTCCAGGGCGGATGGTGGTGATGGAAGCAGATGGAATTATGCCCTGTTGGTGAAAATGCAGGACTGAGCTCTTTACGTGTCATGGTTTTCTTAAAATTCATATTTTCAGGCTGAGAGTGTGGAGCCCTGGTGAGAGGCAGCATGATAGCAGGGCCTACAGAGAGGCCGTGACTTCAGGACCTGCTGCAGGGACAGCCGAGGTTTTATCCCATGCAGTGAACCGTGGGCCAATCATTTAACCTCTGAGCCTCAGTTTTCCTGTTCACAGGAGATGGATAATCATGTAACCTCAGCACATTGTGAGGATTAAGTCAGCCCAGGAACGTTTAGAAGCATTTTGTGTAGGGTGGGTTTTAATAACTTAGTTTCCCTCTCTCAGGGACTTTGCAGCTCTCAATTCAGGAGGGACAGTTCCTTGTTTCAGGTGCCTCATAAGGACTGATGGGGAAAAAATGGGTGTAAAAGGAAACCAGTGGACTGGGCGTATTAGCTCACACCTGTAATCCCAGCACTCTGCGAGGCTTAGGTAGGTAGATCACATGACCAGCATGAGCCACACCAGCAAAACCCCATCTCTACAAAAATACAAATTAGCCAGTCGTGGCCATGCACCTGTAGTCCCAGCTCCTCAGGAGGCTGAGGTGGGGAGATCAGTGGAGCTGGGAGGTCGAGGCTGCAGTGAATAGAGATAGCACCACTTGCCCTCCAGCCTGGGCAACAGGGTTTAAAAAAAAAAAAAGAAAACCAGTTTTGGAAAACCAGTGATGTTTAATGTTTAGGAAATCAATCTTCGGAGACTTCATTCAGGAAATCTCTGCTTGGCCTGGCCAAGCTTCTCTCTAGTTTAGATTGACTTGGCATCATGTTTGGGGACCTGTCCAGTCACATGCAGACTTATATCCCCACCACAATCAATTCACTGATGCAGAGGTGCGTTCTGTGTTTCTTCACGTTCCATGGATTTTCTGGAGCTGGCACTTGGTGTAGGGAGACTGAGTAGTGAGACGGAAGAGAAGGGAGCAAAACTGCCCTCTGGCACAGCATTGATACATTTTGTGAAGGCTTTTTATGCTTCGATGTCTCAGGTCAGGAGTTTTGCTGTAGAGGAAGAGAAGGAGCTGTTAAGAGCAGGTGGTTTTTATGACTCAGTGAGTCTCTGCACGGTCTTGCTTCTTGGTGAAAGACAGGGCAGGTCCACAGCCAGTGCTAAGGGCTGCCATGAAAACTCACCATATGACTTGGGAAAAAAAAACACTTAACATTTGGAGGGCTACTGTTATTGCCTGTGGCTAGAGTGAGTGGATTGGAAGGCTGAAAATTACTCTTACTAATGTAATAATTAATTGGCTTTGAGGCTGGGAGAGGCCCTGAAGTGACTCATTTCCATTTGTTTTCAGACTCATCTCCAGCATATAGCCTTTCATGATAACTTTCTTTTGAAATTCTTACCTCCCCTTCTTGGACTTTTGAAATGATGCTTTCTGTCCATGAAAAGGGTTGAAGAATATTTTATTTTTTCTTTTTGGTTTTTTGCTGAGGTAGTGTGGTGAGAATATGTTATTAATTTGGCATTCTTGTAATGATTCTCCAAAGGTGTGTTATGATGTATTTGGGAGTTCTATTTGCACACAGAACGTGCTAGCCCTAATTGTAGTCTAGAAGAAGAGGCAGACATATGAATGCTTCGTAAAAGCGCCATTGATTGATTGTGAAGGAAGCCAGTTTTGTCTGATCACTTACTACATTTACTAGATTTTTTTTTTTTTTTTTGGGATGGAGTCTCGCTTTGTCACCCAGGCTGGAGTGCAGTGGCGCGATCTCGGCTCACTGCAAACTCCACCTCCCGGGTTCACACCATTCTCCTGCCTCAGCCTCAGGTACAGCTGGACTACAGGCGCCGCCACCGCGCCCGGCTAATTTTTTGTATTTTTAGTAGAGACGGGGTTTTACCGTGTTGCCAGGATAGTCTCGTTCTCCTGACCTCGTGATCCACCGCCTCGGCCTCTCAAAGTGCTGGGATTGGGCATGAGCCACCGCGCCCGAGCGTTTTTTTTTTTGAGACGGAGTGTTGCTCACTCGCTTAGGCCTGGAGTGCAGTGGCGCAATCTCGGCTCACCGCAACCTCCGACTCCCAGGTTCAAGTGATTCTCCTGCCTCAGCCTCCTGAGTAGCTGGGATTACAGGCACCCACCACCACGCCTGGCTAATTTTTGTATTTTTAGTAGAGACAGGGTTTCACCATGTTGGCCAGGATGGTCTCCATCTCCCAGCCTCGTGATCTGCCCACCTCAGCCTCCCAAAGTGCTGGGATTACAGGTGTAGGCCTGTGCCCAGACCATTTACTAGTTTTACTTAACATAACATAGGG